TGGCATAATAACTAACAAAAATACACTTCACAGCTCTGGGATCTAACTTTCCTATTGATTGTCGGTTATCCTTCACAAAACATACACAACCAAAGACATTCAATGGGAGAATTCCGCCATTATCTCCTTTTAACAATTGACAAGGAGATCACCACTTCAACACTTTTAGGGCATTCTATTGATCAATTGAGTGACTGTCAAAACAGCTTGCCCCACAAATGTTTTGGGACATTCATCGAGATCATCATGCTTCTGGTTACCTCTAGAAAATGTCTATTCTTCCTCTGCTACTCCGTTTTATGTTAGTGTCTATAAACACGTTATTTGATGTTGTATCTCTTGGGCAGACAAGTATTCCCCAGACGCCTTGTTGGTATACTCTATCTCACTCAAACCTCATACATTCACTACTGCACCATATTGGGTCTGAATCACTCTGTGAAAGTCTTTAAAGCAAGCAAACATGTCATTTTTATTTCTCATTAGATATAACCAAGTAACACGAGAACAACAATCAATGAAAGCTATAAAATATCTATAATCATTAATCAAAGTTGTAGAACAAGGTCCTCATACATCTGAGTGCACCAAATGAAAAACACGAAAACTCCTATTACCAGAACTAACATAAGAGCTCATGGTGTCCCATTCAAACCTCATATATTCACCACTACACCATATTGAGTATGAATCATCTTGTGAAAGGCTTTAAAGCAAGCAAGCACATCATGTTTGTTTCTCATCAAATATAACCAAGCAATAAGAGAACAACAATCAGTGAAAGTTACAAAATGCCTGTAATCATTCATCGAAGTTGTAGAACAAGGTCCTCGTATATCTGAGTGCACCAAATCAAAAACACGAACTATTTCCAAAACTAACATAAGAGCTCCTGGTGTGCTTACCAAACTCACAAGCATCACACACAAGTTTTTATTTACTTGTATTCTCATACAAAGACGGATAAAAACAATTCAATAGCTTAAACAAAGAGCATCACATGAGTTTGTGATGTAATAATACATCTTCCACACTCCTCTCAGATCCTCCTAATCCAACACTCTCTACCATGGAGCTCAATGTTGAGTTCATCCCTTCTCTATCCAAGTATCATGATTCATTATGTCACGTGTCACTCCCAAGTCTCCGGTCAGTCCCCTTCTATTGAAAGATCACCTTAAGAATATCAAATAAAACAATACATTTTAACTGGAACATAGTGATGGATAAAAGGTTCAATGGAAATAAAGAAGCATGCAAAACATTGAATATAGCCATAGAATTGGTACATCTTATTGTACATTTACCAACCGCAGGCTGTGTTGTACCATCAGCAGACCGAATGCTCTTTGGAACTGCTAAGTGAGTATATGAAGAGAACTTACTAGCAGCACCTGTCACATGTAGGATGCATCTAAATCTACTATCCATTCTCGTGATATTATGGTGGATATAAAGGCAAGAGTATGTGTATTACAAGTACTTTTAGTTGAGTGAGCATAAGCAGCAGTGTTCCCCTTAGATGATGATAAGGTGGATGCATCCTCAATCACATCACCCGTCGTTGTCTGCTTCCACTTCAGCATCTCTAGGAGCTCGTGATCCTCATCAGTAAAGACGACCCACATCTCTGTCACGCTAAATCCAGAACACACTTGTGTGGTTTTCAATCTCAGCATAGGTCCTCTTTAACTTTGACGGGATGGCAATCGTCATTCGAATGTCGTCCACTGATGTGACAATCGATGGAACAATCGAGTTGAGTAACCAGGTGTAAATCAATACATGTGTGGTCCTCCACTCATCCCCCTCAGCACTGTCACTCTTTGGGTCTACCCCAGTCAGATATCCTTTTAGTCTTTTCTCTACTAGAGCAGTCTCAATCTGACGTGACCAACTCAGATACGTGGTCGGTTTATCAAGCTTTAGATCCACAATAGAAAGATCTAGTTTCACCTGAGTCGCAACATATGCTAAGTTAGTGGCTCCCAACGACACACTAGCTCCATGTATGAGCATGAACAAGACATTTAGAACTTCAAGAACTATCTTCCCAAAAGCTCCAAACCTTTACGTCCCGCGCTATCTTCCTCTCCTGACATCCTCAATTTAATTATTTTCAACCTTTGTCATCCTCTCACGCATGTAGAACCAAGGTTCTCTCTTCCACTGCTCTGATTTCACACACTTCGCCCTTGCCCTGCAACGAGCTACTCAAACCACATTATACGACAATCCAGCCGTTGAAGGTGTCGCCAGTTCAGTCCTACGGCACGTCCAAGAATTATGAACTTCACGTCATAAACCACGATCCCGTAGTTGCCCTCCCGACGATTGTATTGTCAGGGTTCTTTGTCGTGATTCCTTAGTTGCCTTCCCAACGAGCCACATGTCAGAGTTCACACCACGAACCCTGATCCCGTAGTTGCTTTTCCAGAGACTGTGTCACGATCCCTTGCCTTCCCAGAGAGGCGCGACCCCGTAATTACCTTCCTAGCGTGATTTGTGATCCCCTCGCTGCCTTCCCAACGAGCTCTATTTGTGGTTGCTTCGTGATGACGAAGCAGAAGAAAAGAAAATTGGAGTTTAGGGTCTATAAACCAACGACGTCAATCACAATTGCGACGATCAAGCAGCAGCAAGGACGGACGGCTGGCTGGAAGGTTAGGACCTGATACCAAATAGCAATAATTGCTCAAAAAATTACACATTCCATTAATGGCTTAGGTTTATATAAAGCCTTACAACATTTAGAAAGAAATCATTGGACTTCTCTTATTTACAAATAGAACCCTACATTAGATACAAATCTCAACTAAAATTATCTCATATACAACAAGTATCCTTTATCCCGCTAAGTGGGGTAGACAAAATGAATCATTTTTTTCTCCATTGTATCCTAGAGAGTGTCATATTTTCATTTCATTCTAATAAACTAAGATCATTTTTTCACAGCATGCACTAGTCTTTTTAGGCCTACCTCGACATCTCTTAACATAAGTCGAATCTAAAACATCCACTTTCTAACCAAGTCATCAGATGGTCAACGCATAATGTGACCGAGCGCGTATTATGTCAGGACTCCGTACGTAGAGGTACGTTCAAATTCCAATAGTCGCTGTGTTATAGGAATATTTCATCAGCGTTATTTGTAAAAAAGGAAGTGTTATTCGAGTATTATGTGGTGTTATTCGATTACTTTGGGTTTTATTGGAATATTCCCCTGCGTTACTTGATGTGGGGTTGTGTTATTCGGCATATTCTCCGTGTTATTTCAATTTACACTATGTTATTGGAATAACACAGCCCCAAATCAATTAATGCGGGGGGGGAATATTTCAATAACACTTCATTGTATTTATCGATTGGCACACCACAAATTAAAAAGGATGCTGAAGTTATCTCCAACATAGAAAATTTTCTAATTCCATGGATGCAATCTTCCTTGACAGCCTTACTACTTCATACCCAAAAGCAAGAAGAAAATTCAACAATAAGTTCAATGTTAAAACTTAATTGATCATTTGCCATCCTCTTTCATAGAATTAATTCATGGATAATGAAAATTCCTCATTGCCCCTCATTCAACTGACTAAAATCTCACCAAAGCCACAAACTTTATCACCACGTCATTAGTACATCCAACCCACCGAGGCCTTGATAGAAAAATTATCTCACCGCCTTGTCGATACACAGAACCTATACAAAATAAGCTTCTTGTATATCGGAAATGGAAAAGAAACTTATAAAGGGAAGCAATACACATTAAAACCTAAACCTAATTTGAGGACAAGAAGAACAATTTACTGAATGTATCTATTTTTTAACTTCCAGCAAGAATAAAATGGCTTATGTAAATGTACATTTGCAAACAAATACAAATTAAACAAGAGCATGGATGAATTTAAAGTATGACTTGTTGCAAGAATTTACGGTCAATCATACAGTATTACCGATTAAGACATTTTATTTCTCATTGTCAAACTCACATACAGTTTGAATTTTGTCCTCTTTTGTGGAAAATTTGTACTAACCTATAAATCAACTTGATATTAAGAATAATTTACATTTGGAGATCTTAAGTAAGGGTATATTTGGGACTAAGCTGCCCCAGAAAGCTGCCGCGGGGAAACTGGTTGGCTGTTTGTTTCAACTGTGTGACAGTTGTTTCTGGACAAATGATCACTTTGTCCCTGTTTAGTAAAAATGTTTGTAACAGAACTATCATAATCATATATTTGATATTTCATAAGCATAAATTCACTACATAACAGAACAAAAATTTGGATACACGCCTCTAATGTGATTGCTCGTACTAATAAAAGAATATCTATATATTTTTTTAAAATCTAACTCAATACGTCTAATTGACACAATATGCCTAATACGTCTAATTGATCATTAGGTTGACATTGATAATGCATTTTCAGGAACAACAAAATATTGAGAAGAAGATGGTAATTTTTGAAAAACAAAAAATGTCAAAACACCATATTTTGTCAAGTTCAAAGCAATGAAAGTCTCGTGAAAACTCACTTTTTCCTCTGATCTACTCAAAAAAACTCAAGGTTAAAAAAAAGAACAATCAATATTATTAATAATGCAAATTACTGATCATAGAGCACATCAAAATTTTCAAAAAATGATATCGAATGGATTAGGCATGGGTGTTCAATGAATGATCAGCATAAATAAATGTGGAAAAAATAAAATTTTATTTTAAACATTTTTTAACCTAAATCCTGGGTCCAGTAAATCACGATTTAGAAGAGGAAGGGGAAGAAATACGAGGGTTATCTTCCTCAATGCTTTTAGGTAGAAGCAAAGTAGAGCGTAAGGAGGAGAAAGATGGCAGTTTCAGAGCTCTATGTACACTGCAACACGTCATTTCCTTCTCAATTAGCACAAGCGGAGCATAAGGAGCAGAAAAATGGCAGTTTCAGAGGTCTACATACGCCGCAATCTGCTTCATCGAACAATAGAGGAGCGTGAGGGTTTACAAGGAGGGGTAGTCTGCGTAATAAGCATCGCTCGAACGCAGACCGTGGGGTTCAATTCACGGCTTGCGTTTCAGCAAAACGGCGTCCCATCGCACTCGTACCGCTGAACCAAACGGCCGCGATTCGCAACCGCTCCCCGCATCATGCTCCTACCGCCAAACCAAACAGACCCTGAGAAGTATACATGAAGAACTCACTTTTAATGAAAGAAATCCAAGCCTTACAAAAGAATAGCTTGCCCGAAGTTTTAGAACTTCCACTAGAAAAAAATAAATTAAATGCAAATAAATCTATATAGTTAGATATGAAGTAGATGGGAGTATGAATAATTTAAAACTTGACATAGTGGATCAACCCAATCATATAATATAGAATATCAAGAAACTTTCTCTTGTTTTCAAAGTCAACGCAATTCAAATTTTGCTCTTTAATAGCAAAAATTGAAAAAGATTTACATCAACTCAACATAATGCCTTTCTTATGGAAGCATTGAAGAAGAAGAGTGGATGGAGGTTCCAGTTGGATTGAAAGTTTAGAGAAAGATCCATAAAATATGCATAATAAGAAAAGTTAAACATAGCCTCAAAAAATCCTGGTGACCATGATTTAGTAAATCCTCCAAAATTATTAAAAAGTGTGGGTATACACTGTTTCAAGCTAATCAAAACAATTTTATTAAGCATTATCCAAAAGAAAATTGACAATTTTATGGTGTTATTCGATAATATTGTATTAATAAATGACTTTGAAAAAAGGCTAATTAAATCAAAAGCATTTTTAAAAAGAGAATTTGAAGAGAAATTTTGAGGTGAAAGTCTTGAAAATTAAAGTATCTTCTTGACATAAAAGTGAATCAAAATAAAGTATTGTTATTTCCCAAATGAAACATATTCTTCATCTATTTTAAGTAATAGGAATATGCTTAAATGTACAGGCAAAAAAACTCCAATGAATCCAAAAATGGAAATTATGATCGTCATTAACATGACGACTGTTGATAGAGGCAGGTATTAACAATTTGTGGGTAAAATCATTTGCTTTTATCTCATATATACCAATATTGAATTCCTTGTTAGTGTTAGAATCTAATACATAAAAATGAAAGCATTGTAAAAAATTAAACAAAGAAAGCAATATTTTCGCATATGATAATTGAGCTAAAGATGCATTGCATCAAAGATTCGCTTTTAGCTTTTATACTTATAAATGAGAAACTTGATTACATTGAGAAGTAAGAAACAATTTGTGGTCTCAAAAATTACTGATGAAAGCTAAACAAAAGGTAATGACACTTGGTATCTGTGAAAGAATGTAGTTAAAAAAAATTAACTAATGCGTCGATATCAACTAAAAAAAAACTACAATTGTGTTGAGATAGTAAAGTTGTTGACACTGTTCAAGGACTTCTAGAAGGTGTGATAGAACACAAAAGATATTAGAAAACTTGAAGGATTGATTAAGTGAGTAGGGAGGATGGATGGCGGCTGAAAAGTGGCATGAACGATGAATCTGTAAACAACGAGGGGGATCCACCATTAGCTTCTAGACAAGCTACAGACACACCACTTGAGAGAGAAAAATGCTATATCACTCCAGAAAGCAGAAAATCAGAGAGCTCTCAAATTACATAAAACCAAGCTGCAAAATCCAAAAATCAGACACACCACTTTTTCTCCTACGTTGATTTCTCTTCACGAGTGGTAGGTTTGGATAGTCTAGTCAGTTTGTTGTCGCTACCAGATCTAATCCTTGAATCATGTATAAAAGGTGGTGTGAACCTAATGTTGTGGTGTTGTCTCTCTACCTCAGGGTTAGGATCTGGGCATCTTATAAGGTTCCATAGAGTTGCAACTATATTATGTTGTCAACAGGCAGTCTCAATTACCCCAAATATCATGCTATGATGTTCTCCTCGAACTCCACCAGTTCACATTTCAACATAAGATGCTCAAACTCAGCAGTGTACTCCGTTATTGAAAAATCTTTTTGTTGTACGTGTTGAAGTCTCAAGGGCACGTCGTGTCTATAATGTAATTACTTACACTGTGTCTCTTTTTTATCTTAGACGAGGTTGTGATTTTAATTTTTCTCTCTCGCTAGCATAAGCATTTCAATTTTTCTCACCATTGAGATGCACTCTTCTTTAACTTGATGATGGCTAGCTTTATCATTCTATCAGATGAAACATTTGTATTCAAAAGTTTGATCCACTATATGGAGTCACTCGGTAAATTCACCTTTTTTGTTCCACTTGACGATGGCTAGCGTAAACGTTTCAATTTGATCAGATCTATGCGACCGTCAAAATCTAGAAAATTCACCTTTTACTTCAAAATCACCATCTCTACTAATATACTCAACACCAAATTGATGCGGCATTGACTTCTCGTCACTTGAAACTTCTTGGTGATGAGAGTTTTCCATATCTCCTTCATCTCGATGGTCACCATTATTATCGTCAGTGATTTCTTCATATTGTCTCCTTTCAAAACCAACAAGCCTCCACTGCAATTAGAAGGATTTCTCACTGCATGTCCTCCATAGTAATTTTTTGAGCACCTCGTTAAGGGTTTCTCTTCGACGGCATAGCATCTCGTCCATCCAACCGAAATTCCAGCTTACTCTAATATCAAATGATATTATTCTGAGGCTTCTAGAATGTGTGATAGAGCACAAAAGGTATTAGAAAATTTGAAGGATCAATGACGTGAGTGGGGTGGATGAATGGCAGTTGAGAATCAACATGAACGACGAACTGACGAGGCGGATCCACCACATATTCCTGGGCAAGTTACAGATACACCACTTGCGAGAGGAAGAGATTACAACACTCTGAAGAATATAAAATCTGAGAACGACTCAAATTACATAAAATCAAGCTGAATATTTCAAAACCATAATATAACATATAAAGGTCCTCGAAGAGAAAATAACCTGATTAGAGACTAGAGAAATAAAAAAGAATCAAAAATGAAAGAAGCAAAGAAAGGAATACTGTTTAAAATAAAGAAAATAAAAATATAAAAAAAATTGGCAATGCCTTGTTGAATCGTGATTGCATGTCATTTACAATCCAGCGGAAGTCGCAAATCACGGAATCCTATGGAGACAGGATCGTGGGTCCTGTCATTACACTCTCGTGTCAATTTTCAGAAGCATTTTATATTCCAAAAAACTCTCAAGATGCACATATACTCATCAAAGCTTTAGCCATAGTAAATTTTGATAATATAATCAATAAATTGGGCAGGATAAACATAGGCAAAACAACTAGAGGGAGAGATATTGAAATAATCCTAAATATGTAACCAACACAACAACACTTTTTCATCTACAATAATTCGTGGAAAAAATGATGCAGACCAATGCAATGATCAATGATACTGTCACAAAAAAGTGGTGCTACATCAAATTATGGGTTATTCATCATCCAAAACTCTCCAAGCAAGCATGTGCCTCTAAAATAATATAGAAGCATAAATTAAAATCTCATGATGATTAGGTCAGCATCACCAATCAATGAGGCAAAGATCTTTAAATTTTACTTTATTTCAAGATCACCCTACCAAACTTATTTAGCTTGGCCAAATTTTCCTACTTTTGAAGACTTTAAATTTTATAATTTTTTTTCTTATATTCTCTCCCTTTATTATGACAAATTATAAAACCATGGAATAGTATTTTATTGGTTTTACAAACTTTGAAACTTTTCTGGACTTAAAAAAGGCCTATAAATGACCTTGCTTTGTACTTTTATTTTAATTCAAAAAAAACTATCTATATATGCAAATTTTGTGAGGAAATGCTTGGGGGTTGCTCAATTTTTTGGTGAAGCATGGTCATTGATCTCCTAATTCTTTTGTGAGTAATTAGTTATACTTTCCAACTTTTACTCCTCCCAAACATAAATTCTCCCTTCTCCAGTCAGGGCTTGGTCAAACCAAAATCCTTACCCCCACAAACCCCAAAATGCCTCCAGCACCTTTATAGCTCACTTACACATACTCTCATAACCCAATTACACATTGTACTCAAAACATAGATAAAAACTCAATATACTGGGAAAATATCCCATTGTGAGCAATCAAATCAAAAAACTCGTAACTTAGTCACTAAGCCAAAATCCATAAAATCATCATCACCCATTATCCCAAATAAGTTTCTCACTATTTTCCTTCAAAAAATATTTATCCTTTCAAAGCCCAAAAATTTCAACATCAAATATATTAGAATCCTAATAATCCTATCTTTCACTGCCCATATAAAATTTTCACCACAATCAACAAGAGCATCAAACAAATTATTGCCTCCATCATCAAGATCCTATAGGCCTTCCATCATAATAGCCTCCCATCTAAAATGATCTAATATCAAAAAAACAATAACTTTCCATCTGTAAAAATCTAATAATATATAATGGCATTTATGATGTAGAATTAATTCTAGATCCCAAAATTAATAGTTATTTTCATATTATTTCTTCGTTAAATAGCCATTTCTCCATCTATTTATGCAACTTATTTCCTAAATGATTGGCTTTTCATGTCAATCATAATCATTATCATTGACATTTCATTACAGTTAACAATTTGGGAGCCAGATTTAAGCATAATTTATGCAAAATTTAGCATAAATCCTGCCAAAAAGCAAAAAACTAATTGGTAAATCCTAAGTTCCGGAAATCCTAAGACATCGATTTGCGACGAAAACTGGGATTTACTAAGTCCTGTAGTTTTGTGGATTCAACAAAATTAAAGGAAAAACGATACACGCTCTCGCGTGGCATTCTTATCAATATTCAAGGGTTGTTTTCCTCCATTATTTCTGGTAGGAGCGAATCAAGAGGAAAAAGATAAGAATGTTGGAGGTCTTTATACATCACAATCCCATCGTTGCCTTCCCAACACTAACTATAACTTGTATCGCGAGCGATCGATCATGAAGATGGTTTTAGGTGAAACCAATAGGGGGGGAGAAGATGGTTTTGTGGCTTTAATTTAATTTTATTCATTTAAGTTATTTTAACTTATTAGCAATTAATAATTAATTAATTAAAATTAAATAAATTTATATTTAACTATTTAATAATTAATCAATAAAACTAGATTACATATTAATTATTTTAATAAAAACTAATTAATTATTAATTAAAGAATGTTAAATTATTGATTAATATAATTAGTTTGATACAATTATTATTGGTGATTAAGTAGTTCAATAAATTTTAAATATTGATTAGTATGATTATAAATAAAAAATTTAAATTAAACTTACATAAACTTAATAGTTATATCATTAATATGGAATATTAAGATTTTAACTCTTAAAATCATTTAGAAATCATATGGTTATTTTTAAAGCATGTTTTTGAAATATGTAACTTATATTTTTGATAAAGACATATTTCTAAGGCTTTTAACCACCTAAATCCTAATGAATCCTATTTTATTTTCAGGATTTAATACTCTCCAAATATGATAAATCCAAATTTACAAACTCTACTAAATCCTACTTGCAACCAAACAACCCGTCAATCATAATATTAACATAACTAAAACAGTAAAAACCATGAATATGTATTGAAGTAAAACATGTCCTTCATATCTTTCCGGGAGAATGGCAAATATTCATAATAAGAGCACCATCTAAACCACACTTATGATTATGACACTACAATATCTGCATGTCAGCATAGTAATAGAAGCAAAATAGTCAAAGCATGGCACCAAGCATCCCTAATCCCTGGATAGTGCCATAAGTAGATAACTCTAATCTTCAACATACGCATGCAAATATTCATATACATTGAATAAATCAGGTTTCTCAGGTTTAAGTGAAAGAAATAATTACTCGGTCAGAATGGGATTACCCACATTCAGAAGTGCAAGTATCACTCAGAATTTTTCCTCATCTCTTCGAGTATCAATCATGATGCGAAGAATAAGATATGTATGTTAAAATGGCATTCATTCCTTCATGAAAAGACATAAAAATCTAGGGTTTCAAACTAATTTGGGAAGACATTAAGGAAAAATACAGAAGAGAACCAAAGTCAGGGTCTGACTATAGCATACAAGGAAGAAAGAAGAAGTAGAGTAAGAAAACTAACACTGCAGGGTCCTGTTCCTTAAGGGCAGTTTGGTAGCAGGGTTTGACCACGATTTAAGCAGGATTTCACCTAATTCCTACAAAAAAGGAAAAATGACAAGTATGGATCCCGTTTCTTCTCCGCTTTGGCTTAAATTAGTAATCCGAGTAGCAGAAAATTTTACTGGATATAGAGAAACAGAAGCGCTCGAAGAGGGGAAAAATACTAGGGAAACAATACATACCAATCCATACAAGCGCCTGTCGCAACTTCTTCGCTTCTTCTTCTTCTTTCTTCAAGGCCTTCAAGTACAATCGAAGGGTGAGGAAAAAGGGTGTTTCGGATGCCTTCGCCGGGAAACTCCAGCGGCTACTTCCGCGATTCTTTTCCGACGAGGGTTTATTGCAGGAGCGAACGAGGGAAGACGGTGCAGGGAAATCATTATTTTTTAATTATAAGTTGATAAAAAATGATAAGAAAAATATATATTTATGTTATTTCTAATTTAAATTGGTTAAATAAAAAATTTACATGTTTAATTAAATTTTAAAAGTACTAATAAATGATTATTTGGATATTATTTAATATTTTATCCAAGAGATAAAGATCGTGATAAACTATTTATGATTTTAAAGTGTTAAGGCTTTTAATAATCTAAATCTATTAAATCCTGTTAAAATTTTACATAATTTCTTAGTATTTATTATGATTTATTTACTAACATACCAAACTAAAATTTATAAAATTTCCCCCCCCCCCCCCCCTCACGTGATAAATTTAAATTTACAAAATTGACTAAATCCCACTTGCAACTAAATTGCCCATCAATCATAACATTTAACATAACTAAAACATTAAAAACCATGAATATATATTGAAGCACAATATATCATAAAACATGTTCTTCATATCTTTTTTTAGGAGAATAGCAAATATATTTATAATAATAGCAAAGTATAAACCTCGCTTATGATTATGACACTACAATATTTCTAAAATTTAGCAAACATATCATGTCAGCATTGTCATAGAAGAAAAATGGTCAAAGCATGACACCAAGCATCCCTGATCCCTAGCTAGTGTCATAAGTAGATAGCTCAAAATTTCAGCATGCAAATGCAAAAATTCATATGCATTGAATAAATCATGTTTCTCAAGTTTAACTAAAAGAAATAATTACTCGGTCAGAATGGGATTACTCACATTCAAAAGTGCAGGTAACACTCATAATTTTTCCTCATCTCTTCGAGTATTTATCATGATGCGAAGAATAAGATATGTATGTTAAAATGGCATCCATCCCTTCATGAAAAGACTTACAAAAGTAGTGTTTCAAACTAATTTGGGAAGACATTAAAGAAAAATTCAGAAGAGAACCAATGTCAGGGTCTCGCTAGAGCATGGCTAGAAGAAAGAAGTAGAATAAGAAAACAAACACTGAAGGGTGTTGTTCCTTGAGGGTGGTTTGGTGGCAAGGTTTAAGCATAATTTAAGCAAGATTTTACTTAATTCCTACAAAAAAGATTAAATGACAATTATAAATTCCATTTTTTCGGGTCATTGCCTCCATGACACACTCATCATTTTGGTCGCTACCACCACGGCTTGTTTACTCTTTTGGGTCACTACCTCCACGACAAGCATATCCTTTGAGTTACTGTCTCCACGACATGCCCACCTTTTCGAGTCAATACCTCCACGACACTCTTGCCCTTTAAGCCACTGTCTGCATTACAAGTCCACCCTTTCGGGTCATTATCTCCACGACACGCGCATCCTTTTGGATCGTTGTCTCAACTGCACGGCCACCCTTTCGGGTCATTGCTTCTACGACACACCCTTCCTTGGGCTGATGCCTCTATGGCACACCTACCCTTTTGGGTCACTGTCTCCACTACACACATATCCTTCAGGTCATTGTCTTCATGGCACATCCATCCTTTTTAGTCACTGTCCATATTGCACACTCATTCTCTGGGTCGTTGTCTCCATGACACGCCCACCCTTTCGGGTCTTTACCTCCATGACACACCTATCATTTGGGCAATTGTCTTCATGGCATGTCAAACATTTCAGGCCACTGCCTCCAAAGACACCCATCATTTTGGTCATTGCCTTAATGACACATCTATCTTTTGTGCCAATGTCGTTGCGACATGCTCACCCTTTCAAGTCGCTATCTTCGAGTCACACCCATCCTTTAGGCTGTTGCATTTACGGAACACCCACCCTTTCGGGTCACTGTCTCCACGATACACCCACCATTTGGGCCACCGTCTCCACATACATGCCCGCCTTTCGTGTCACTATCTCCATGGCAGATCTATCCTTCGGGCCATTATCTTTACGACATGCCCACCCTTTCAGGTTGATGTCTCCACACTGCACCCATCATTTAGGTCACTGCCTCCACGACACTCCCACTCTTTTATTTCACTATATCTTTGGCACACCCACCCTTTGAGTCACTGTCTTCATGACACACCCACCATTTCTGGTCACTGCCTCCATGACATGCCCATTCATTGGATTGTTGCCTCCATGACACGCTCATCCTTCTAAGTCATTGTCTCCACGACACACCCACCATTGCACACCCATCCTTTGGGTTGTTGCCACCACGATAATCTTATCTTTTCAGGTCACTACATCCACAACACAACCCTTCTTTGGGTTGCTACCTCTATAGCATGTTCACCCTTTTGGGTCACTACCTCCACGACACACCCACATTCTCGAGTCACTGTCTCAACAACACACTCACCCTCACCACTTTTCTGTATGATTGTTCGCATTTGCATGTCAGCATGATAGCAAACCAGACTCTGTAGGAGAGTGAACACATGTTGGTCGTGATTCTTTAACGATCATTGCTTTTCAAGTCAATCCCAGTGAACAATGCGAGTTAAAGCATCATAATTAACACGAGTATGATTGCGTTAATGATCTAAAGGATCTAACTCGTCTCACTTTGCAAGCTACGGGTCCATATTTAATTACTCTTATTTTAAAACTAAAAAAATATATATCATCGTATTTATTACATCCATCATAAATTTAAAATTATGCATGTAGCAAAATAAGTCATATGTATGTCCAACTCTTTTCAGGATACATCTTGTGTGACACCCATTAGATTTCTTGAATCTTTAGGACAAGGGTGATATGGAGACTCCTTCAAATTTATACATACCCAGAGACTTATACTTATGTTGAGCACTTAGATGTTGATTAAAATATTTTTTTAAATGGTGTATTAGGCTAAGACTAAGATGCTAGGTAGTATTTTTTATGTCTTTGGCTATTGTTCTCAATTGGATTTGTTGTTCTAGCCAAGCGCCACTTTTGTGCTTTTTGGTGTGTTTGTGTCCTTGATATGCATTGTAGTATATTGGTCGTTCTTCTACAAGGCATCGTGCTTATATATATGCACACACACATGTATCATTGAAGGATGGGCATGTGATGACTTCTGCCAACCTTATGCTTGTAGGTGTCATTTACCTCCCCCCATTAAAAGACGTTACTCATTATACATTGCATTTTTTTTGTCTTTCCTGCTAACATTATTTTATCGCAAGTTGAGTCCTTTTGCTATATTTTCCCTCTATACTGTTAGAGTCTTGGGAGAGTCTTATATTAGAAATAAAGTGCAGACATGAGATTCGAGGGGCCAGATGAATGAAACCACGTTACAAGGGACAGTAGCAACATACTTGTGTCCCATAGCTTAATTTTTTATCTCATTTATGTATAGAATTATGACAAGCATGTACTTATGCGGTGTTTGGCATCATTTTTCTCTTTTAGGATACTTTGTCGACCTTGCAATGCCGACCTTTCATTATTTTTGACTTGTTTCTTGTCTTTTTGCATGCTTGCTTGCTTGAATTCTTTTTTTCTTATTTATTTCTGATTTTTGTGGGATGCCACGAATTTTATAATATGGGCTCGTTAAGGGCCTTCAAATTATTAATTTTATACACAAAATCCTAATAATATGAGATTGAGATAATCGAAATTTTAAGATTAAAATTGTCACGACTTTCAAAAACTGCTTTTATTTTTGTACATGACCTTTAACTGAATTTTAAACTGGTTGCATAACATGAATCTCCCCTAAGTTATAATATTTAGGGCCCTTACAATATCTAAGGACCGCTTTAGATAAGTGCATTATTTGGCATGTCTCAAGAAGGAGTCCCCGTACTTTTTTAGTTCGACTAGCCCAACATATATTTCTACTGAAGTGGTTGTTTAATGCACATAAATCGTTAGAGGCCCCTAACCCATAAGAGGTGTAAGTCCTTTGTTGGGAGTGTTTCCAGTTTTGCAGCTGAAACTCCCATTCTCTTCCTTTTCAGTGGCATCCCCGCCACTTCAGAGAGTATAAGTCCCACCTCTTTGAGCTCTACCCTACAGTCATAGGAGAAAGTTTTGTTCCTTTAACCTTAGGGTTACGAAGGTTCCCTTGGACGTCAAAATGTATGGATTACTGGTCGAGGATCTCTGGGCAAGTTGGGTCGACTGCCTTCACGACCAGATAAACCTAGGGTCAAGTGGCTTGGGATGATTGGTTCGTGTCACCCTCAATTGACTACCTTTGTGTATTAGGGATTACTCCTCAATTCTTTTAACCACCCCTTTGAGCCATGTCGCTCAATTTGTTGGTGTTAATGTCATCTTGACGGCCTGATTACTAATGAGTCACCGTCGTTTGAGATACAATGATTTGTTCTTTTTTCCTTATTGCCTGAATGTGCTTTGAGGTGACGATATTCCCTGTCAGGATGATTTTGTTTTACCCAGACTTTGTATGTCGATGAATTTGTTACCCATGTCGGATCGTGGGAGACTCACTCTCTGCTCTGTGACGTAGCAAGACCATTGAAAGCATCAAAGAATTCCTCTGCGAAATAACTGTTCTTTAATAGTTCCATGTTAGTTGTCACTTTAAATACAAGCAAAACTCTTTGGATCAAGAATATTATTGAGCAACCCTCAAGATGCAAATAACCAAGTGGAATACGTCCCATTTGAAGCACTCTAGACCCTATAGCAGACAAACACACCTGAATCTCTGGTTTTGAGTAGCTTTTATAGGCATTCTTTCGTGGATGTTCGACACAAACTATTTCAGTCTGATCTTGTTTGGACGTATATGCTTGATCTATCTTAGTAAGGTTTGTCACACAAAAGTTTTCTATGTTCTTTCTTTTATTTTTTTGACTTGGTCGAATGTCTTGCTTCTCCAATTTCTCTATTCTCCTGATCACTCACATGATCCAAAATAGAGATTTATTCAGAAAATGGTAGTATACGATGATGAACAAACTGACAAATTCTTTAAAAATAAAAAAGAAAAATGAACCAAACAAGCACGATAACATCAGACACACAATTTAAGTATTTTGTTTTAAATAATTAGGGGCACTAAGAGGCTATAAAAGATTTTAAATAATTGGGGGGCCAAGAGGCTAGAGGGACATACATTGAATATTAATTGCTTGTAGATATTGGAGGTCAATCTTTGACAAATGTTAGATGATAGCTCATACGAAATAATTATTGGACCATTCGTTATTAAGATGAACTATTGATTTCTATATGCTTCCATATGCAAAAACAAGACGGATTGTATGACGCACGCCGCGAATGTGATTTTGTATAGATCATTAGATGGTCAATATAGATGTTGATAGTTACCAAACATTGAATATTAACCATTTATATACATTAGATTCAATGAAATCCCCCAAGTCTAACAACATCAAAATTTTGATTTACACGATTACGGAATGCTATTGGCTTAACCGTTGAATGTTAGTCATTGACATGCATTAGATGACATTTAGAAGAGAATGTTGGAATCTAATAATAGTTAGTGGGCCTTTTTATTTCTAAAATCTAAATCCTTATAAATTATATTTTATTGGATTTATTAAATTTGTTTTGCCAATCGAGTGCATTGATTTGAAGCTAATAAAATTTATTGGTTATTTACCCTAAAATTATTTCCAAAAAATTTGTTTTTTTTATATATTTTATCACTTTATTTAAATACGTTCTAGCTAAAATTTAATAGACATTGATCCCATTAGTTTTTTTCCCATCAAAATACATTCTCTTAAGTAAATAAATTATGAGATTAAAAAATAAAGATACTTTGAAATATATTTTTGTAATACATGCCACTCAATTCTATCTATTTATATATCTAACACCTACATTACCTATTCATGAAAGATTTGGGTGATATAAATGTAAAAATTCAGGTTGCGGAGATACATACATGCAAAGAGGAGAGAGAGAGAGAGAGATTCAAACTCCGGACATCAGAGGACTTACAACTATCATCGCAGATGCCAACAAACAAGTGATGGTATGCAGTGTATATATATATATATATATATAACCCTAGAGTACAATATTTAATTACAAAATTACTCATGTATCGTACCGCTGGGGCGTTGCTCATGTACCCCCAATCCACTATATATATATATATATATATAAACACACACACATACATACAAACACATACATTGATGTGTGTATGTGTGTGTATTTTTCCAGCACATACAAACATAGAAATGTAAGAGAACCAAATTCATCGGGCTTGGCCAGTCAAATAAATGAGCTATGAAATTGATAAAAGATGATTGTTTAACGAGATTATGAAAATTGGCAATCAGGTGTGTATAGTAATCGTTTGGCTACAATAATCATAATTGGATTACACCAATCATAGTTGTTGGCTAAAATAGTTATAGCTGACTACAAATATCCTAATTGGTGCTACAATATCTATAGTCAGCTACAAAAGTCATAATTCTGATTACAACTACTACGCATATTTGGCTATAGCAATTGGTGTGGTGGTAGTCAACAGTGGCTAATGCTCGTTAATCTGCACTTGTCTTCACTAGTTATATTTGTTAGGTCAATTTTTCTTCTTTTCCCCTTTTTCATGCTAAAAAAGATAACTTATTTATAATTTATAAGATGAGCCTTTCGATAAATTTAATCCTAATCTCAAAATATTGCTTCCATCAATTAACATTCATTTCCTTGATTGCATGTATTTTTTTCAATATTTAAGTTTCTTAACAATCTCAAAATGAATTGATATCGGTCTCATTGGATTCCTCTCTTCAAGCAGCTTGGTTTAACTATCAAAGTCTTCAACTGCAGTTCAAGTATGTAATACTAACTTATTGGAACTCAGATATGACAACTCTTAGTGGCACTAGATTTGAATTATCGAGATGCTCAATTTAAATATAAATTTGTTAAAATCAAAACCTAAATGATCTCCTATTTGAATTTAGCTCAAATATATTGAGATTCGTGCTATATAATATCAATTTATGTGCATCTATATTTTATAATTCAGCTTAAACATTCCATCTTCAATAATTATTACATATCTTTTACAGTTACAAGCATGATTTGGTACTTTCCTTATTTATCAAATTATTCAAAAAATTTGTAATTCATTTTAATAAACACAGCTAATTCTGTAATAGTATCTCTCTCTCTCTCTCTCTCTCTCTCTCTCTCTCTCTCCTCTCTCTCTCTCTCTCTCTATATATATATATATAATATTTTATTATAAGGTATTATATATATGATATCAAAACTTCAATTTTTATATTTGCACCTACAAAGTTTTTTGTATGGCATTAAAAAATCATCATTTTAATTTTAAAAGTAAAAAATATATTTTTATACTATTAAAACTGCATGGCATGTTAGCGAATAAAATCGAACTACCGGGGTTAATTCGTAAGCCCGGTTGGATTTTGGGCTCTAAAGAGTGGGACCCACATCATTAATTTTTTTTTATTATTATAAAACTCGCCTAAACTTCACCTCAAAGATAATTGACAATTACTTGTCCCCTGTCAATTAAGACCCGACCCATTTATCATATTTATCATAAGAAATAATATTTATTGGATTTAGAGTTTGGTCAAATTCAGATAAAATTTGAGTTAATTTTAAGTCAATTCAGATTAATAGGTCGATTTCAAGTCAATTTACAATTGATGAGTTAGGTGCTAAAATTTTTCACTCGAACTCAACGAGAACATTATGCAAACCAATCTGAAACTCTATTTTTTGAGTCCGTTTCGAATAATATTTGACATGACGAGTCAATTTTTTTAAAAATTATTCTGTGCAGAGTTAATATGCACGTCGAGTTAGTTCATCTACAATAATATTATACTCTGTTGTGCTTAAAACATGTATGCATGCGAATTATACACGTATTATTCTTTCCTTTTTTTTGACACTAATAAACTACTCCTTTTTTCTTTATTATGAGTTTAATATTAAATTTGTACATAGCTATTTTTTTATTGATTTAGGATTAATTTTATTAAGCAATTCATATTCCATTTCTACACACACACAAAAAAGTCATTTATCATGCATCCATGTTTTATTAAAATTGCAATTTTTAAGTCTATCTATATTAAAATAAATATTTAACAAAATATCAAATAACGCCAGGTATATAAAATAAATATATTATATTTTACAGATTAAAATTCAATTAAATTTAAATGTTTTTTTAATAGACCCAAAATAATTTATTTTGATAATAGATACAATTCCAAATATGTAAATATATAAGAAGCGGGGTAAATGCCACTTTATCTTTCCGTTTAGCAGCTTGAGCTGTTCTTCTCTCTTCCACTTCCCTTTCCCGCAAGTATATATTCTGCCATTACAAGTTCTCTTTGAAGCTACTCTCATCCTCTCCGCGTCGCTAGCAGCGGAAGCAGGAAAGCTTAGGATTCATTGATCTGGTCCGTACCTCACTCAAGTTGATTGAGAAAGAGAGTATTATCAACTGCAATGAGGGCGGAGGCGCGGCTGGATTCGGCGGTGTTTCAACTCACGCCGACTCGGACTAGGTCGAAATCAGATTTCTTTCTGAGTTTGAAGCTTCCTCCTTGTTCAAGCTGTAGATCTTATAATGTTTATCATTTTCGAGACATTGTTGGATTCGTTTGGGGGTTTTAAGTGATGGGCATGTTCATAGTTGCGTCTGTTGGAAGTTTTGGGATGTGGTTTACTAGATAGATTCAATTTGATCTTGCACGTGCCGATCCAATCTAAGTATATTGATTTTGATTTAATTTGATTGATTTTTTTGGGAAAAAAATATTTATTATGGATGATTGAGCTTAGTTATCATTACCGGATCTTTCTAGTTTGCAGCACTATCCGGCCCTTTCTTACAGGTTTTTTTTTCTGGCTTAATTGCTCATGTTTAGTTCATGGTTTTGAAGCTTTATCAAGCTAATTCTGAAGCTCAACATGCGGTTTCAATTGACGATTTCTGGTAGAATGTTCTAGCTATTTTGCTGGGAAATGATCTTCTTGTTCTTACTAGGTGTGATTTGGTAATAATTGCTAATGGGAAGACGGAGAAGGTTGCATCCGGTTTATTGAATCCTTTTGTTTCCCATCTGAAGACCGCTCAGGATCAAATTGCAAAAGGTGGCTATTCTATCAAACTTGAACCAGATCCAGAAAGTGAAGCGCCATGGTTTACAAAGGGCACAGTGGAGAGGTTTCAGCTCCTCTTTCATTCACTGACACCTGTTGATTTCTTAGGAAACATATTAGAGTTATCCGTCTTGATTAACAGCGCGCATGCCGAGTTACTTTAGTATTGTTGATGTTATCATAATTAATTGCTTAATGTCTGGTCATTCTAGGTTTGTTCGCTTTGTGAGCACACCAGAGGTCTTGGAAAGAGTTCATACCATAGAATCTGAGATTTTGCAGATCGAGAAGTCAATCTCAAGTCAGGAAAATGATAATCTTGGCCTGAAAACTGTAAGTAACGAATTGTAAATGTGCATGCGGGCTATAAAAGCAAAATCCGTGGCAATTTGTGATGTAATTTGCCCTTTCTGATCTGGCAGGTGGAAGACCCGCTAACATCATCAAGTAACAGCGAAGGTACTTTTAACCATGTCGCATTCCATGCAGCAATTGTAGTTCAACTTTGTCATAATTTTCCTTGGGACTTTCTGTTTGGCTACAATTAGAATTTAGCGTTAGTAGGATTTAGTAAATCCATAAATTCTTCAATCTACCCAACTCTTGGATTTAGTAAATCCGATTTAAGCCGAATCTAAGGCAAAATTCGACTTGCTAAATAAAAAAATGTATAAATCCATGGAACTCTTATATTATACCATTTGACTGGATTTAGTAAATCTAGCCATAAATCCTATTAAAAAGCTCTACAAAATAATACCTTCGAGGAAGGCATCTCTAACATTGTGTTTATCCCCTGAAAATTCTTCCATTTGAAAGCAAAGATCAAGTGCAGATAATCATCCAAAATAGTATTAGTTATTATTGGGGAATTAACTGTTCTAAAACAAATCATTGAGTTCGAATAAGTAATAAATGCATAACACCAAAAATTTTATATAAATTTGCTTAATTGATCCAGAGCTATAGATTTCACAACAGTTTTGATTGTAGAACTTGCTTTTATAGCCCTAATATCTCTGGTATTGCCATTGCCCCGCTCACCATACTAAGGCAGCTAAAAACATGGAAGAATTCACATTGAAAAAAATGTCAAAATAGTCCACCGACCATTTATATGTGGTCATTTTAGTCCCTGAAGATATGAAAATTTCAAAATAACATCTTGACTCTTCTCGAAGGACTATTTCAACCTATTTAAAAGTGTTTGGGGATTAAATTGACATTTTTATAGGTTTTGGGAGTAAAATGATATCATGTAAACAGTTAGAGGACTATTTTGGCACATTACTCAATTCACAATACACTCTTAGAGAAACAACTTGCAAATAAAATTTGTGACCAAGTATGATCAAAGGTTTCTTCTCAGTTATTAATTTTTTGGCTCAATTTACAGTCAATTGTGGCTGTTAACTAACATTTATATGGCTTTTGTGTGGGATCATATTCTAAATGATTTGCTCACCTGTTTCCTAGCATCTGCGGAATGCATCTTAATGCAGTCTGATGTGAACTTAATTTTTAATGTTGTTGCCCCTATTTTACTTTGAAAGATTTACTTACCAATCAGTCCATCTAACGCCTAAACTTTATATCTAACGCCTAAACTTTAATTTTTACATATATGCCACCTTACATATGCATGAAAAATCGTATTTCACTTTTTAGAAGTAAAAATAGTGGCATGTTTCATGTGATATGAAGATTTGGGCGGTATAAATGTAAAAAGTAAAGTTTAGGTGTTAGCTATATAAATACTGGGGAATTGGGTGGTATGTATGCAAATGCCCCTTTTGCTTTTGTTGTTTGTGGAATGATGTTCGTGTTGACATGGACTCTTAGGTAACATACAGATGCATGGTGCCGATAATGAAAAAGCGATAGTCCCTTACAAGGTAATGGAAAGAAATTTTCGTTTAGAGAAATGTGTTCCTATTTATGTACTTTTCTTGAAGAGAATTCATTGAAAATTATTGCAGACCGGAAATCTTTCAAAACCATCAGTGTCGAATGAATCCAAATTGCATGAGGAGAGCTCGAAGTATGTATGAGCTATTCACTGCAAATATATTCTTTTGAATACTTGCCATTCTGTAAAATCAGCATCAAGTAAACTTTATTTTCTAACTTGGTGGGCTAAAAAGAAGTATTACTCCTTTTCACTTTCTGCTAGGTAAATTACTTATTACATTCATACAACTAAAACATGAAATCATTGCATGTTGAAAGCTAGCGCAATCTGCATGTCTAAGGGCACCTTAATTCTTTTCTGTTGCTTCAATAGAAAATTTTTGTTTGAACCCTTTTAGAAGTTTGGAGTTGGATCAGTTCATCGAATTGTATGATTAAATTTGTCATTCATTGTTTAAATATTCTTCAGAGTTCAACTTGTAAGAGTTCTTGAGAACCGCAAAAAAGTTTTACAGAAGGAACAGGCAATGGTCTTTGCATGCACTGCGGCGGCCGGGTTTGAAATGGAAAGCATGGCTCATTTACTGTCTTTTGCCGAGTCTTTTGGTGCTTCCCGATTGAGGTGAGTAGTTCCTCTGATAGTAAGATATGGCTTGTTCTCAATGAGTGCTTCCGCCATATTTATATGATAGGGGCATTTACATACATACCATCAATTGCTATGTATTTACATATCTAACACCTAAACTTTAATTTTTACATTTATACCATCCAAATCTCTAATACCTCATCAAAAATACCAATTTTAAGTTTTAAAATGTGAAATACACCTTTTCATGCATAGGTAAGGTGTTATGCATGTAAAAATCGAAGTTAATGAGTTAGATATGTAAATGCATAAGAATCGAGTGCTATTTTTTGAAATCTTTCTAAATGATAGTAAATTGAGACTTAAGATTCATTCAACACAAATGATCGAACAAAAATGGAATTTTGCATAAGTAAACTACTCAAGGAGATGAAAGGACTTCCAGAATATCTTTAGAGATAAAAAGTGTCAAAATAGTCCCCTAACTATTTACATGAGGTCATTTTATTCTTAGAGTATCTAAAAGTTCCAAATTAGTGTCTATACTCTTTTTACATGAGTTGAAATAATCCTTATAAAAGACTACTCTAGCCCCTGTTAAAATAGTCTGGGGACAAAATTGACAATTTTATAGGCTCCGCGATTAAAGTACTCATTGCAAGTAGTTAGGGAACCTTTTTGACACTTTTCTCTTAGAAAAAGTTTAAAATAAGAGTTCCATGAACTTATAAATGAGCTGGTCGGTCATATTGGTCAGATTTTATCAATTCTGGATGAAAAAAAGGTGGTTTGGTGAACAATATATTAGAGATAACAGAACAATTTACTAGTGATACATGTTGTGGGTCTTCTATTACAAGCTAATTGGTCCAATTCAACTTTCATCCTCTTTCATTTCTAATTTCTGAACTTGTCCCCTTAAACAGGGAGGCGTGCTCTCAGTACATGCAGTTATGGGTGGAAAAACATGAGAGTGGACTATGGATTGAAATTGAAGGGGCAGAAACATTATCCTATAGATCCGAGTTTCCTCCAATGAATGCATCTGGAATTATTTTCTCTGAAGATGCCGTGAAGCAAAAAAAGTCCATTGAAGCATGGCCTGCATCTGCTGGAGATGTGGGCATGGAGAAAAACAATGGCAATGCTACAAGCCTGGAAAATGACAGAGGTAATGCAAACCAGTTCATTGAGGTCAATGTTTTCCTTAACTTAATTTTCTGTAGTTTAAATGCACTTCATGTCAAAAAGTAAGGCTTAATTGCACTGATATACTAAATTCAGATTTTATTTTTCTAATGAGAACCTTCACATTTTTTATTTTTCGCTCTTTCATTGGATTTTCTCATTGAACATACGATGGCCAGTGTTGGTATATGGTTATGTTTTAGAAAAGCCAAAGCTTGTACTTCGTCAAGTTATTTTCTATCCCTCTCTTGACATATAAACCATTTTCACACTCTGGGATTTCTTGTCTTATAGAATTTGGCTCATTTTGTCCACTCTACACTGCAAACATTTGTATTATCTGTATATAATTAATACAGAATACAATTTTGAAGGGAAATACCACACAATTCTTATATATTTACATATCTAACACCTAAACTTTGTTATTTACATTTATAGCACTTTGGTGTCGTAAACCTATGCATGCAAATTTGTGTTTTGATTTTAAAAATTAAGTAAAAGTGGTATTTTTTATGTGATATTAATGATTTGAGTGTTATGTTTGTAATTATGGAAGTTCAGGTGTTTGACATGTTAATACAAAACAATTGTTTGGTATGTATGTAATTTCCCCAACTTTGAAACTCTGACAACTGCAGTTTTAAATTTCTAGATGAAAGTCTCTCTTCAGAACGTCCGGCGCCCCATGGACAGCCTGTGTATCAAGGGCAGTTTCCATACCCACCATTTCCACAGTGGCCTCCACATTCTCAGGCAAATCCATATTTGTCTCAGCCATATCCGATGCAAGCTATGCCCTACTATCAGAATTATCCAGCGGAAGCTCAGTTCCTCCATCCTCCATACTCTCCCATGGAAGATTCTAAGTTGAACACTCATCAAAGTAAGGGAAAGAAGCAATATTCCATGCATAGCAAAGATAGTAGTTCCCATTCTGAAGACGGCACAGATCAGAATACATCAGAGTTTGATGAAGAGCCTTTGGGAGTTCGCAAATCACATCGAAAATCTGGTCATTCTGGAAAGAAAAATGGTCTTGTGGTAATTCGGAACCTAAATTATATTGCAAAAAGGCAACAATCAACATCAGAAAACAAATCAGAATTTTCTTCTGACTCAGAAATTGACTACATTAGAGGTATGCTTTCTGGATCTGTGAAGAGAGAAGATAATAACCAAGAGAGTACTAAGATTTCAAATATGCATGGCAATGAGGAAGAGCTTTATAAACAAGAAGAAGATGCTGGAAACTGGCAAGCATTCCAGAGTTTCTTAATGGAGGCTGAGGAAAAAATGAGCAGCGCTGTTGATGGAAACATATTTGCTGGTGAGAAGGAACATTCTGTAAAAGAGTTGCAGAATAAAGATGGACCTGATCCCATCCTTCTTTCTACAAGAGATTCTGTTAATTATCAGGAAGAAAGTACCATGGAATATGATGCATTTTGTGGTGAGGGAAGCAGAACTAAGCTGACAGTTTCTACTGATGAATTTTTAGTAGCAGCTGAAGGTCAAGTTCGCTTGAACAGTCTGGCAGATGCTCAGTTCAAAGAAATGGATGAGGGAGTTAGCGAATACCGAAAAGTTAGTAGTGATGATTTTATCATGCGTGGATTGGAGAAGCTGGTGCCCAACAAGATTTTCTCAGATCCTTTAGCAGACTTTGAAAATGAAAGTGGAACAAAATTAGAGAAGAGTTTCTCACCAATTATTGCTGATGAGTCTTTTGTGATTCCTTTTAGGTTTGGAACCCTAGATCAGCGTGGTGTGGATACAAGAATTGCTATTGATATGGCTGCTGAGTTCCAATCTGCTCCTTCAAAAGAAGAAGAGTCTTCAAGCAAGGCTACGACTAGGGTAAACTGTGAGCCAGATGATTTAACCTTGATTCTTGAACATAGAAGAGAGAGTGATTCAGTTGGCTATAATCAAATTGTAGATTTTGACATTCAAGTTCCACTTTTTGTCAAACAAGAAATCAAGAAGGAAGAAGATTATGTCTCAGAAAGCATCAATGACAGTAAAATTGATGTAGTAAAGCTCAAGTCTCCTCAGAGTGAACTGGAGAAGAAAAGAAAGGACACGATTTTGAGGAGGGCGACATCAACAAGGTCTACCCCGCAGAGCGAAGCGCAAAAGAGAGCAGAGAAGCTAAGAAGCTACAAATCTGATCTACAAAAGCTGAAGAAAGAACATGTATGTTGTTATCTATCCATTTGAATACATCTTTTCATCACCAATTTATTGTTAGTTCCTAAATAATACAAAAAATAGAGCTGCAAGTTTAAAATGACGAGTCTTGAATTTATAATATAAGTACCCATTCCTTTATTCAAGAAGGGGCATAATTTGTAGTATCTTAACATTGTTTTTTGTTTTCTATTTTCAGGAAGAGCAAGAGATAAGAAGATTGGAAGCTTTAAAAAGAGAACGACAGGAAAGGATAGCTTCAAGAAATGGGTCAAAAGCTGTTCAATCATCATCGAACCAGCAACAATTCAACACTGAAAAAACCTCCAAATTCAAAATCTCAGAAAATGGATCAAATTTACCTCTGCATAAGTTACCTACGCCCAATGTTGCTAATAGAGATGTTAAAACCAAAACCACTAGATCAAATAGATCAATGTCTGAGTTGAAAGAGAGTGCTAAACAAGAGAGGAATTCAGTTTCTGCAAGAATTAGAAGACTTTCAGAACCCAATGGTAGAGGAGTTCATAATGTTCCAGAGAAATCAGCAAACACTAATACAGCAATAAAGATGGCATTAGCTGAGACAAAAAAGATAACAGCAGACAGAACATCAACAGACGTACCACAAAATGCTACCATAGGTACTGGTTTTGCTGCTAGCCATGCTTCTTTTTCACCCATTGGTACAGTAGACAGGGAAAATCAAGCTGAAGCCAACCAGACTGATCCAATCAATTCTTTTGAGGTAAAATTAAAAAATTCAGCAGCATTTCAACTTACGCCTTGTGAAAGAACCACCAGTATCGTCTTTTACTATATTAATGAACTAATATGAAATCCCTATCAAATACATATCACCCAATTACTATGTATTTACATACTAACACCAAAACTTTTTAGTTTTTACGTATATACCGCCCAAATCTTTCATATCACATAAGATTCTTCTCTGCAGAATGTCACGGATTTAAGATCTTCACACCAAATATATGAAACTGAGGAGAAGCCACAGAATCAAATGGGGCTCAGAAAGTTATGGAAATTCGGGAGAAATGGCCACAACTCTCATGTAGAAGATGGTAACCTGCATTCATATGAATCAGTCGCTGATGATGCCACCGCAGCGACTCCTAATGACAGTAAGATCATGATTTATGACAAATTCTTTACTTGCTTTATATGATTCTCTAGTTTTGATAATAAATTTAATTGTGGTTTATACAGATATCATATTTACATATCTAACATTTATTATTATTATTATTTAATTTCTACTATACTATCCAAATTTACATATTGTTATCACAATTACTTTGGTGTGATTCAGACACTAGGATGTCATAAAAGTAAAGTGTTTGATATGTAAATCCATACAACATCAATTTCGGATGATTTACATACGTACCATTCAATTATTTATATATCTGGTACCAAAATTTCAATTTTTACATAAGAAGCTCTGCAAGTTTTTTAATGAAACGATTTCACAGTTCTATTAATTTTAATGGAATTATTTCAATTTACAGTTTCCCGTCCATTCTCCACTCTCTCACCCTTCCATGGCAGAAGCAATGAAAAGAAGATTGTAGCTTCAGCATGAGATTGGTAGCCATGAGCAGATTTGGCTGTTTTTCTGCAACTTAATGTTGGTTGTGAATTCATGTAATTTGTCTATTTGTTTAAATCCATTTGTCTATTTGCTTAAATTCATTTGTTCATAAAAAAAACATAGCCTATGTTCGATTCTTGTCATCTGCATTTGGGTGAGACAAATAAAGAATTTTATTCTTTATCAGTGCATGGTTTTAAAATTTTAGGGTTCCAGTACAGTGCAGTATCGGAAAAATTATTAATGTGGAGTCTTTAATATACGGATTCTGTGTATGTACACTGATCGTACAATAATATACAACTAATATATACTGTTGTGCAACAATATATTGCATTATTGTACACGGAGTCCGTATGCATATAGACTGAGTGCATAACATTCTCTCGCAGGATTGGGGCATCCATTTTCATGTTTCTCATACATTGTTATAAGAGGCATATGTATGATAAAACTATTAAGGAAGATTTACAGACATATCACTAATTTATCATGTATTTACATATCTAACAGATGCACTATTTTTTACATACATTTCACCTTACATAAGCATGAAAATATGTATTTAATTTAAAAAAAATTTAAAGTCGATAACGTTTAATTACATAAAAACCACCCAAAACAAATAGTCAATGATCAAACGATTAAAAATTTGATAAAAATGAAAAATAAGGGTTGGGGTTGGGGTTTTAACATAAAGTTTGATATTTGAATGAAAATGGATGAAAAAAGCTGGTAGATTTGTAAATGCCAAGTTTTGGGTGGTTCCTATGTAATTTCCCAACACAAAAAAAAAGGGGGTTCTATTGTGTAATATCAATACCACAATTTTAACTTTTTAAAAGTAAAATACACCATGTCATGCATGAGTTAGGTGGCACATAATGCAAAATTTGAAATCTAACTGTTAGAAATGTAAACAAATAACAAATTGAGTGGCATGAATGCAAATTTTCCAAAAAATATAAATAAATAATTAAAAAAAAAGCATTAAACAAACTGAGACATTTCTAGCATCTTCTATATTGAACAATCAAAAATGCAATTTCAAGATTGCGTTGGAGAACCTGCAATCACATATCGACAAAAACCAGTCTCACAAATCACTTTTACTGTGGAATAATAATCATAATCCAATTCTCAAATTCATTCAAATAATAAGCAAACGGGTACAGAATCAAAACATCAAACTTTAAGAATCCACAGAGTTCATAACACCGACCAAAACTACATTTGTTCTAACGCTTGGTTGACGATCAACTTGATGCTGCAATAATGGAAACAGAATCAGCCATTGATTCTTCAAAAACCTCACTTTGAAGCACTCTTCTTTAGCTTTGAAAGCTCACGTCGGATGGAATCTCCTCTCTGTAAATAAAATCAAAAATAAATAATAACATAAAGGTTTTTTTTGAGCCATGAGTGGCAAGCAAAAATAGTTTACATATAGGGGTGTAAAGGAGTAGAGTACAACCCGAGCCACCCTCGGCCTGAGCTTGAGCTTGATTAATTTTATCAAGTTCCAGTGACCTCGAGCTTACATCTACGAGTTCGAGCACGACTCAAGAGCCGGCTTGTTTGTTATAAAAGAGATAAAATAATATTAATTTATGATAGTATTATAATAAAATGACAAAAAAAATCCATTTTTAATACTTTATCAATAAATTCTTCAAATTTAATATATTTTGAGTACATTTTATATATTAATATTATTTTAAACGAGCCGACTCACGAGCTTAATTCAAGATCCACTTATCGAGCCAAGCTCAAGCCGGCACAGGAGTATGCTTGACTCAAGTAGACCCCTAGTTACAAAAGCATAAATAGGAAAAAAAAACTCCTGAAACTGACCTTAATTTTAGCCAACATGACCTTAAATCTATCGAAATCATTCAGTTCAGCTCTCCTCTTTTGCACAATCAGCTTCCTCCCCCAAGAGCTCTTCTCCCATCTATTCTTCACATCTGCAATAGAAACTACTCGTATAAGCCCATATCTTGAAGGAAAAAAAAGATAACCGAAAAATGTCGACAATGAATTGTTTGGATTGTAAGAAAACAAAAGAAATAAAATAAAATATCAAAATTATAAATTGAACTATTCAATCTTTAATTTTATTTGAAGCATTTACAAACATGCCGCCCAATTCCTATGTATTTACATATTGAGCATCCAATCTTTGCCTTTTTACATACATTTCACCCAAATCTTTCATATCATATAAAAAATACCATTTATTTAACTTTCAAAAAAGTGAAATGCATATTTTCATGCATAGGTAATGCATGTGTGAAATAATTAGTTTCGGTGTTAAATGTGTTAATGCATAGAAATTAAGTGGTATGTATGTAAAAATTTCTTTTTTTAAGGGCATTTACATACCTACCACCCAATTCCTATGTATTTACATAGATAACATCCCACCCAAATATTTCATATTTTATAAAAACACCCTATTTTAATTTTTGAAAATTGAAATACATATTTCCATGCACAAGTAAGGTGGCATATAAGTAAAAATTAAAATTTAGGCGGTAGATACATAATATATAGATGTGATGAAAATTTTCCTTATTTTTCTCATTTATTTTCACTAAAATCCCATGAATCCAAACAAAGACTCGAAAGGTTTTCAAATGGTGGCAGACCAGCCGCTTCCATGGCCTCGATCAGTTTGCTCTTCTTGGGAATTCGGGGGATGTCAATCTTGATATCAGTCAGAGACAGCCTCTTGAAGTTCATTTGTCCTCGTACCATGTCAGGAGCATCAACTAAGGCCTGAGATGATAATAACCATCAAAGGATTATAAATAAAGATTTACATACATACCCTAATCAAAGAATGCAATGAAAGAAAATGCAATGAAAGTTTATATCATTTATAAATCTCATCTAAGGATGTCAAAAAAGCTCGTTGTTCATGTACAACAAGTATTAGGCTCGTTAAGTAGCTCTTGTTTGACTCGTTCATTAAGTAAACGAACAGAACACGGAAATTTTTTTTAAATTTGAATTATAAACGAGCCGAATATCAACAACCCTTCTGTTCGCTTATGTGGGCTTGTTTTATTTATATAATAATATATTATATATTATATCTAAAGCTTAAATCATAACAGCTCATGGGGGTCATTAGTATCCTTAAATCATAACAACCGAATTCTTACGGGTTTGAATCCAACACCCTAAATTTATTTTTTTTGAATTAATTTTAACGAGTCAATTTAGAGCAAAACACAAACAAGAATATCTAAATCGAGCCAAACATGAACATACTATTTACGAGCCCATTTCAAACAAGACGAACATGAGCTAAGCCTAAGCTCGCTCAAGAGGCTAGCTCGTTTACAATCCTGATCTCATCCCTAAGAAAAATATACATACATACATATATATTGTCCAAACTAAACAAATAGAAGGACAAAGACCTAAGAACAAAAGAAAAATTAAAAGCCATTATAAATGAAATAAGAATATCAGATATGAAGAATAACAATATTGAGATAAAATAGATTAATGATATGTTGAGTGTTGTTAAGTAATTATCAATAGAAACAATATAATATAATTAGTGTCTTATTCCTGAAATGAAATTAAAAGGTACAACATAATGGATACAAATATGATAATTAAAGATATGTTTGGTTTTGCAAAAATATATGACCCATCAATAGCAAATAAGTACTTTAAAAACAAGAATAGCACCATGTGACTTCAAAAATAGAACAACAAATCAAATATATAATTTCTTAAAGTTAGAAGCAAAATATTTTTTGGGTGTAAGTGTGCATGCCTGTATAAGTATTATAAGTTTCTTACAACAAAATAAAAGTTGCACGTACGTATGAAATAAAAATAATTGAATGCTCATGGTGTCTGTATTTTTGTATAGATATGCATGAAGACAAACATTTACATGTTTATTTTGCATATAACATGTCAATTGAGTTGAATCAAACTAATCTAGAGTTTAGGCAAATCAATTTCAATTTTGAGTGTATTAAAATTCTAAAAACTATTAAACCAATTTTTAGTTATGAACAAGATCAAAGAATCAACAAATGAAACATTAGCCTTCATAAAAGATGGTGAAATATGAAAGCAGGGTGCTATTAATTCTTTTAACATAGATTATTCAAATAGGAAAACTGAAATGTATGGTTGAACCGAATTTGATGTAAGATAAGATAGTAATTGCATTAAAAATATTGTAATAAAAATTTTAGGAAACTAAGAATAAAGCATAAGTAGAATTGGTAATATACCATGAAGGCACAAAAGGTCATTAAGAAGAAATATTACTTTTTCAAGGTAACAAAATTGATTCAGGGGGCTTCTATATCAATTCCAACTTTAACCTAACCTAATTTCAGAACAACAATCAGAATAAAGATCAAGACAAAGGATCATTTTTGGGATCACTTTTATTTTTATTATTATTTTATTCAGCATATGTTCTAATTTGAAGCATAACATGTTTGGTAGTTAAAATAAAATGAGATAGTCTTTTAAAAACTTAAAGCATCTAAAAAGATGTTTTGAGTATTTTTAGAAACATGTTAATTTATGCTTGAAAACAAAAATAAAAACCCAAAACATATGAAAGCACACTAAAGAAATATGTTTTTAAAAACAAAAGTCAATAAAATGATTTCAAACAAGCCCTACAATTCTAGGACTTAATTGTAAGTTAAGTTTGAATGAGTCAAACTCACCTCTAAACAATCTGGAGGAAATAAAACAATGATTACACAAGGCAAGAAGATCAAGATTTTTATCTACTCCAAGCACGGCTATCCAAAGACATGATCTAAGAAGGCTTTAGGACAAGTGAAAAGCAATTTCGATGTGTTTTGGGATTATATAAGATTGAACAGCTCTCATTTGTATTTCCCCCAAAACTCCCTTTGCTCTTTTGCTACTCAAAGGTACCCTCTTCTATTTAAAAAATCAATGAGGCGGTGATTTGTTCAAAAATACCTAGGAAGAAGAAGAGAACATATAAAGAAGGATTCAACAATGAGGCGGTGACCATCAAAATTCCTTATATAAATAATCTCTAATATTTCTCTAATTAAGAATCTACACAAGATTGTATTGTTTCAATCTAATAATCTCCTTACTTTGGGACAATTGAACTTTACAAGGACCCTTGAGGACTTAAAACCCCTGATATCATCAAACATTAGCAGATAATTACATCTTTTATTACTCTATTGCATGGATTATTGATTGGCTTAGTGAGTTAGGTTGTAATCCTCTCTTGATTACAATCTAATTGCTTAGATGCGTCCTAAACTCCATATATCATATTAGCCCAAGAACTCCATTATGATATCAATCATAAGTAGGATATGACTTGAAGGTAAATATTCTTGATTTACAATGAAAAGAGAAAATATTTATCAACTCCAAAAAAGCTAGAGTTATAACTTTAATGGTTTATATAATACCCTAGCACCAAGGAAAGATAAAATGATATTTATAAAATAGTCAACATACCATGGAGGATATTTAATGACTTTCATTGATCTCATCAAAGTATATGATTAAAATGAACTAGGAACTAATTTTCATGCATAAAGGGAAAACATATGTAGAAATTATTAAAAATATACATGACAAAGCGTTTACTTGCACTAGCACAGTTTGTGGAGTGATCAATAAGACTGATTAAAATAAAGATTCTAATTAAGATTAATATACAACAAGTATCTTCTTACAGTGGTCACAATGATGCTTGTACAAGATACTCCTAACAAGACATTTTGATGTATGCTATCAAAAGGAGATAGCACTAATAAACAAGGTGTTTATTAAAATATGAGAATGCTAAAACAATGAAGGAAATGGTTAAAAGTTTTAAAAGTTAAGGAGGCTCATGATAGGAGGCTCATGATTAATGCAATATATTTTAGGTATATGATCTATATTTTCAGTTTTTTAAATTACTACAGCAGAAACATCAAGTTACAACTAACTGTTGTAAATTGAGTCTATTACGCAAAAGAACACAAATAAGAATGCAAAAATATTTTCTAAATAAGGGCTTTTAGAGTTAATGGTGGATTACTGAAATGAAAAATTACCTATAGATCATGTTACAAAAAAATAATAATAATAAAGAGAACTAAAGATATTATTATTAAATTAAAATTAGAATGATTGGAGCAAGGTTTCAAAAGTTGACTATCAAATAATATATAAGTCAATGACAGTTTTTATTGCAATAGAATGAGAACATATGTACAATTGTACATGTGTGCCAAATTTTGACCATCAAATTAGAAAGGAGATATTGAGAAATAAAAGGTGTTAGGAGATTAGCGCCTATTGAAAGGTAAGTAAAACTCAAGAAAAGTGACAATATGCAAATACAATAAAGAGTAAAAGGTGCATCGAAAAACTTAATATGAAATGATTGAAAGGGGAAAAGAGGTAGAACAGACACAACATGGATAGATATAATCTAAAAGAAGACATAATCTCCATGTAAAATAGGCTTAACACCTAAAATAGCATTCAACATGAATAAACAAAAAATGAGTTCATAAAGCCGACTGCAAATTGTGTTGGATTAATGTTATTGTTGATGGAAATAATGCAACAAAACCAAAAATGATATAAATCAATAAGCTCCTTAAATGAATAAATAAAATGCAGGTTGATATTTAGATTAATTATTCAAAATCAATCATTCGTGTAGCTTCTAAAATATACACAAACACATTCGGATCATCCAAACTAAACTATACAAAATTTTCCATTAAAAATAGAATTCTTAGTGTTATATAACTCATATAACTCATAAAAACTAGGTGGGTAAACATTACCTTATGAAAACAAGGCAGGCCTAGTTGAAACAATTGGGAAATTACCATAATAACAATTTGCATAACTTAAACTGATATGACGATAAAAATATAATGAATAATAATAGTATGATAATCAAAATAGGCTCATGTGTGCATTTCATAATGTAAATCCAACCAAAAGGCGCCTGACTTCAGAAGTAAATACCCGCAAACAAAATGCATGCAAATAAACTCTTATAGAAAATTTAAGATGAACCATCAGACTACCGCCAGCCGGCAAGGCAACCCGTCAGGCTTGCTGAATTCATGTCCGAGCTCCGAATAAGCAAAGCAAAGGAGAAAGATGAAGAACCACTCCCAGTTGAAACCCGCCAGGTCATCTCGGTGATCCCAGAAAACTATCGTTATTGAGTTAGCCATACACTTCACATGTTTCTAGCGATTCACACGGCATCATCGAATTCTTCGGGTGCACCAAGACGCTATTTGAGAGCGTAAATTCCCCATTTTCCTCTCCAACCACTCGACATAGCAATCTTCAATAGGATGGCTGACTACCCGATGATATGGGCAGTAGTTTGGGTCATTGGTTCTATCAGCCTCCTCAGGTCTTTTAAGATTTGCCCAAATTCCATTGGCGCATATAGGTTAAATGATTCCAGAGGGCCTCCAACCAAAAGGCAAGCAAGCTACTGCCTTCCTTGGAAGTCCTTCTCTCTTTTATTTTAGGAACGAAGAAGTTTTAGGAACGAAGAAGGTGAGTCGAAGAAGGTGAGTGAGGGTACGAGTAAGGGGCTTTTTTCTTGAATAGCATTCTTTGAGATAGAAACCTTGGAAGGGAATCCTCAATCTAAATATTTGTGAATGTACGAGGAGGATTCAGCCTTATCAAGCAAGATAGACAAGAAGAAAAAGAAGACACCATACTCAATACGGATCATATTTGAAAATTCTCTTCATCATATTTGAAAAGCCTCTTTTTTCTTCTTCTTCGAGTACCTCAGATTCAAGAATCTTGAGATGCCTAACACATCGAACAATCAGACCTGAACAACATCATCAAAACCAAAACCAATGAATGATCACTTAGGTAGGATTTTTTTTTTGTCATCAAGTAGATCTAGGGTTCTATATTGAAATGAGCATGCGCATATTTTCATGATCATGCATGATTTTTTATGAAGAAAATGAGAACGAGAAGAAGAAAAATTAGGGAGAAGAAGAAAAATGAGGGAGTATGGTTCTCCTCTAAGGCTTTCTTCTTCTTTTTTCTTTCCAAAAGCTCTCCAAAGCTTAGCTCCTTAATGTCTGTAATGAGCTCACTCTTTATGCAAAAAAGATAATGGTCTTTCCTCCAAAGAAACTTCAAGTGCAAGAAGAAGATGAAGAAAATGCGAACAAAAAAAAAAAAAGAAAGATGAGGGAGAAGAAGAAAATAAATGAGGAAGGAATATAATTCTCTTCTAGGGTTTTCTCCTTTTCTTTTCGCACCAAGAGATTTCCAAAGCTTATCTCCTCAATGTCTATAATGAGTTCACTCACTTCAGCCCCCAAAAGTTTCAAATGTGCTGAAAACTCAAGTGAAAAGAAACCAAAATCTTTCCCTTATGCTAAGCTTACTTCATGCCACATTTCCATGCTGATGATCATATAAAATTATGTTTAATTATATGGCATGCATACAATTGACCATTTTCTGAGTTGAGGGCTAAGGAGCTTTCTATGGTACCATTCGCCATCTTTTCCTAATTAACCTTTTATCTTATATGAATTGATTTGCTAAAAATTGTTCACAAAAATTAAAACCTGACAGCTTCCGGGCGCCAAACTCTAATTTTGAAAAAAACAAGCGAGTGAAAGGATTTTATGGATCTCTTAGACTATGAGAGGGAATGTATTAATGAAGTATAGTCTACAAACATAACAATGCATATCAAACATGTATGGCATCAAAAATTGATGCAAACACCATCCATGCTTCAAAACTAGAGAAACTATTAGCATTTTCATACATGCCACACAATTCTTATGTATTTACATATCTAACACCCAACCATTCACATTTACATGCATACCACTCAAATCTTTAACATCACATTAAAAATATCACCATCACAATCTTTTTAAAAGCAAGATGCACATTTTCCTGAATAGATTTATAACACCAAAGTGTTATAAGAGTAAATATCAAAATTTGGGTTTTAGATATGTAAATACAAAAGAATTTCGTGGTATGTATGTAAATTTCCCAGATGGAGCTAATTCATATTATAATATACAAACCAGCAATTTCCTGAAGTATAAGAACAACATATACATAACAAACAGTGCATAAAAACACAATGGCAGCTAAAATTTTTTTTTGATAATCAGTTAAAGAAACAAAACATCAACCAAGCAGAACATAAAGCTACGGTTTTTCATTTCCCAATCCCCAAAAAAAAAAATGATACGCACTCGATTCTGATCGATGACATCGACGATAACAACAAGCCTCCCATACTCCTTCCCATAGTTGACGAGCGCTACCCTCCCGATCTCCACGTACCGCTGGAAAGGCTAAAATTACAACCACAAGAACCCATGAATCAGAGAAAAGTAATTCCCCTTAAAACAATCAAGAAAGTTTAACGAAGCCGGTAACATTGAAGAGCACGAGAGAGCCAGCACTCACCATGGCTGCTGCTGCGATCTGCTGGAACCTACCACCTACCAAGGACAGAGCTAGGGTTACGAACAGAGTATTACGTCGCCGGTAAGGTTTTCACAGGAATGAGGGACCGTCAGATATATTCGCGATGGGGGAGATCGACCGTACGATCGTGGTTATTCCTGTCCGTCGGATCGAGCAGAGGATTATTTTGATGTGATATGAAATATTTGAAAAAAAAAATTAAATTTAACCAGCAAAATTTATAGGTGAGATATGTAAATACATAGGAATTTGGTGATATGTATGTAAAAACCCCATTTTTATTATATTTAAAAATAATTGCTATTTAGAAAATATTTTTATCAACTATACCATCGAATGTTCCAATAAAATAAGATATACTTTATGTTGTCGCGATTCATAGCAAAATTTAGGGGCATTTATAGCATGTAATTCTTACGTATTTATATATCTCGCACCTAAATTTTCATAATTACGTGTATACCACTCTAAATTTTAAAATCACATAAAAAATAACATTAAAAATACATTTCATGCATTACTATAGAATATGAACGTGTTATGCAAGTAAATATGGGAGTTTTAAGTGTGAGATATGTAAATTCATAATCATCTAAATTTTGCAAGTTATAATCAGATGCAAAATACTAATTATGAGATCATAAATTCTTAATTAATAATGATTAGCTTTTAATAAACACCATTAGGCACTTCACAATTATTTTATTATTTTGCATGTGCTACATCTCATATATCTACAACATATATATTGCTTATGAGACCATAGTGTTGTTGAAACATTAGAGTTAAGGTTGTTTCTTATATTAAGATTTATTATTATTCGTCTTATATGATGTGTTATGTCATGTGATGTTATTTGTATGTACGTGGGCATGGTTCATCAGACCATGATCATCATTGATTATCATCAACATCTAAGCTGACAATCAAAACATCATTTATGCATATCACCAGATATTGAACTTGCATCTCAACATCATATTGGCTTGCCTAACCCCACCTCTCTTTCTCTTTTTCCTCGATTTAATATCAAGTTATTATAGAGCTTTGGTATTAACTTGAGCACTTGTATTGAAATAATTATTTATTTTTTTGGAAATCAACATAATGTCTTCAAATTATCCCCTTCCAAGCCATGCCATGAAAACTTGTTTTCTCGCTCTCAAATTAACTTTATGTTATCTCTTGTTTAAGTCAATTCAAGCCCTTTGTTATTTCTTGTAATATGAATGATTGAATGAAAATCTTGTTTCAAGTTTATTGCTATCCACCATAAGTGAGATATTGCTTGAGCATGCGGGTTCGTAAACCTTTAGAGGATTTATAGAGTTCAAGTCAGTTATTTGTGACTCTACTACCGCTGCATTGATAACCACATAATATTAGTATTGGGAAAATATTAAATCTAATGATTATAAATAAGGAAAGTGTGCATATTAGAAAGATTGATATTAAGTAACATAATATGAGAATATCTCATCATATGATCTTTTCTATGTTTGAAACATTCATAATTTGTATGTCATAACTCTCTCTTATTTATAGGAAGGATTATGAAAAATTTGGAATGCATGTTGAAGTGTAACCCTAATTCATCCAAATTTTCCTTCCTCCCATTTGTTAATAGTGAAATAACCTCTATTCATGAATGTAAACCGGTTTACATGAAACCACGTGAATTTATACAGATCATACTGTTTGGAGATTAGAAGTTTGTCTAAATGAATATAGGGCCTTTTGAGATCAAATCAAACAATTTATCTTGAAAGAGAGGATCATTAAAACCTTTTGATTTTTTTCAGGGGTAATAATCCTACCTCCAAGTACCTTCTCATGTCTTAAAATCTCTCTATCACAATCTAAGACCCACCAAGAGATGAAGAGAAATTAATAATGTAGGTCCAAAGAGTTTCTGGTTCTGTATAAGCTCTCACTTCATACCCCTCCAAGCCCACTTGCTGGTCCTCACTTCTCATAAATTCATTAGCTTTTCTCTCTTCCATTCTTTCAATTTGCAGACAACATCAAAAGAATCACTAAAAGTTGTCATGTTATCTTCCTTTTCTGTTTGCATACATACATACATACATATATATATATATTTAAAAGAATTGGCCGGAGGCTATTATACGAGCCCCGACCATCCCTCACGCGCCTAAGAATTCGATTACCACACCGTACATTAGGGGAAATCGAACCCCAGACCAAAGATGACTTACAACTGATAACCAGATGCCCAACCAACTGATCTGAGCACGCGCGCACACACACATATATATATATATATATATACAATGCATCTTATTTTTCCTAAAATATCGACATACATACCACTCCTCTTATGTATTTACATACTAACACCAAAATTTAAATATTTACCAATACGCCATCTTTTCTATGCATAAAAACCCATAACAAATTTTGCAATATATAATTATGTAAATGCCCCTTTCTTTACACCTTTTTACATTATTCTTCGAAGGTCTAATATGTTATTAATGCAAAAAAACTTAAATATTACTGCAAAAACAAATTCCCAATGCAGAGCAAACCAGGATCGTCAATAAGTTGCTTGAAAAGCACAAGCACCTTTCCCTCACATGCGCCTATTTAAGTAAATTATTCTATGCTGCCACATTTAAAATAGACATATTGCATGACTTTCTTTAACTAAATTGCTATAAAAAACCTTTTTCCACCTTAATTACAACGCATCAGAAGAGCTGCTTCTTCCCCCCTCCAGTCTGTAATCCAAGCAGGAGAGAGGGAGAGAGAATGGAAGGAGGAGAGCAGGAGATGGAGGAATTGGAGAGGAAAGATGTGGGGCTGAAAGAGCTGTCGAAGAAGCTTCAGAGGTTTGCAGAAGAGCGAGATTGGGAGCAATATCACAGTCCAAGGAATCTTCTTCTTGCCATGGTGCGTTTTTTTATTCCTTGAAATTTTTTTTTACCAGACTAATTTTGGGGATTAATTTTAATTAATACTTTGTTATTATATATAAATATATATATCATATAATGGATTATTAGCTAATATTTAATAAAGTTTAGGGGAAGTTTTAAGTTATGTAACTCTTTGAAATTGGTTTTCTTGAGATTTAATGGTAATTTATAGAATTTAGAGAAGGCTTAATGCATGGTTTATTTTTTTATTAATTATCATACATAGTTTTTTTTTTGGCACTAAAAAGTTGAGTTGCCCGTTGGAAGCTCTCGATCGCCGGAGTCGAAATCTTGTCGTCTGCTTCGGAAGAATGTTTAATATATATATATATATATATATATATATTTAAAATATATTATGATTAAAATATCTATGCTTATTCTATAAAATTGAAAAGGTACCATAATTAATCAGAACAATATTTCCTTCCAAATTTCAAAATCCCAAGAAGAAAAAAAGAAATTTTTTTATATTTATCAGTGAAAAAAAGATGAAAAAATGACAATTTATTCCGAATTAATAATACACATTACCCGGCCATAGTGCTCTTTTCACATGCAAATAAAATTTGCATTTATTTATTTATAATAGCTGTCAATCCATATGCTCCTTTAGAGCATGCACCACTTATTGCCTTTTTTCCTTTGCTTATGACATAAATGCAATAAAAATTTGCAGATGCATATAAGATAATAGGAAGGTTAATAAGAGAAAAACCGAATGAATTAGATAATTTAGTGTCTGGCTAGAGGCAGGCAACAACAATAAAAAAGCAACGCATTCTACCATTCTTATCCTATACTTGCAAAAAGAATATAGAAGAATGATGGTGGCCATTAGTCCGAGGAGGTGGGAGGGCAAATTAGAAGACTAAGATATGAAGAGCTAGAGGGTTCGAGCTTTAGTTATTTGTAGAATTAGTTGTGAAGTTGTTGCAGACTAAACTGTTGTTCAAAAAATTGTGGCAGCTATTATAAATTTAAATTATTTTCAAAAGTAAGACAAAAAATTGTTAGCAACTACCACATTTAGTTAGGTCAGATTGCAAAACACAAAATTTCATCGCAGTTTTTTTGAAAAAAAAAAAAAACAAATAAAACATAGTTTTGCCAATGCCTGAAAATACCTGAAAGTGTTGTGCGACACTACACCACCACGACACCGCCGCCCCAAATACAACCTAAGGTAGCGAAAGCGGAGGCCATAGACGACGTGGCCTTAAATAAAGAGTTAGGGTTTACTTAAAAGCTGGAGGAGATTAGAGGACTACAAGTTTGTTTGGGGAAGGTAGAGGTGATTATTACAAATAACTTTTTTTTTTTTTGAAAAAGTCAGATCTTTGTTTTTTAGCAGCTAGCAGGTAGTCAGATTTGGTGGGAAAATATATTTTTCTACTGCAGCTTTTTGAGAAAGCAGACAAACCACAATTTTGCCAAACACGATAAATGACAGTTTCACACTGCTACCGCGCCGCCGCCCTAAACACAACTTAAAGAGAGAGATTAGATACACCTACAATGTTTGGGTAGAGGAACTGAAGTGTCAACGGTTGTTGGCTACGAGCAAAAGAATGAGTCGTTACAACACGATAAATCGATTCATTAAAATTTTATGATTTATTCTAATAATATATCTAGACACAATCTTATGGTTAGGATAATACTATTCTATCAAAAACCAATATATAAATAAATATATGGTTAGGATTTCTAAAAGATCTTTTTTTTGTCATTGTTTTTATTATGCTTTATAAAGATGGGCACAAATAAATAGGCAAATCTCATTGGCCTTTTGACTGATTTCATTAAGTGGGAAAGCTTGTAGCCGTTATGTGGAACAGCTAAGATATGATGTTATGTGACTGTCTCCAAAAGAGTGAAAGACAAGTGGGTGGGTGTGCATAAGTTGATTGGTTTCATGTTTTCTCACTACAAACTCTTTCCTTTGCCTTTTCATTTAAAATATACAGAAGTGCTAGATCTTTCACCAATGGCACCATGCATGCTGTTTAAGCATAATTAGGCTATTTAAGCCACACTAACCAAAATTAGCAAAATAAGAGCAAGGACGTATGGAAGTTATCAGGTTGAGGTATATACATCTCTGTCAACCAAACACGAACTATGTTGAATATGAATGATTCTTTTGCTACTTGGTGCTCTTATATGTACATAAGAGCTAGTAGGCCCGATATGCTAAACATCTATACGCTGAAACTTGTCAAGTTTAAGGGTTTTTTCTTTTTTTAAGATTTGGTGGCAAGTTGGTTGGCAACTGCTTCGTCGGTCTTAAATCCCTCTGACCTAGGTTCGATTCCTGTCGAGGACGATAACACATACTTTATGGTTTGGTCTAGAGGTCTGCTTCCGCCTCTGACCAATCTTTTTAAGAAAATTTATCAAGTTTAAGTTGTTAAAGCTGCATGTAGGATCTCAGTCGACCAAGATCTCGTCTAGGCAAACTCAAACCAGGTAGACAAGAATATCGAGCAAAATTAGACAAGTCTCCTCATGAAAAGACCTTGAGAAATGCAAAACTAGTCATCTCATTCCTAGAGGATAACTCAAACCAAACTCATCAACTCATATGTTGAAGACAACACCTTTGTAGCTCTGTATCTCATCCCTTATGGATGATTCAATGCCAGCTTGACACTTAGGGTGCGTTTGGGGCGGCTTGTGCATATCCAGATAAACAGTTTATCCTAAAATGAGGTCCACGGGTAGCCCGCGGGGTTCGAGCCGCGGCCTGTGTTTAATGTAGAAACCCAACCACGTTTTCAGATAAGCTGCCGAAACGTGTTTTTAAAATGGCGAGGTGGTGTTTTCAAATGGTGAGGCGGTGTTTTCACTTTTATGTTACCCCAAACGGGCCCTTAGTGTACAACGAATGATTTTAGGACGACTCAACATCTTGCTAAAGTTAACACTCACATTAGCTCAATAGTATAGCTAATGTCTTTCCACGCGGCTAATCTTGCAATTAAAATATTTCCATTGATAGTATAGTTGGAGGTGTCAAGGTCTATTATGTCTTGCTATCTCTTTAGATATGTTCTGATCCATCTTTCTTGAAAATAAATGATGTATTTTACAAGCTACAATCCCAAGGCCCATTTTCTAGGCACACTTCTATATTTTCTATATGGCATTTTTAGAAAAACCTAAGAGTTGTGTCAAGGGAATCTTTATTGAATATAATCCATTGATGCCATCCTATATTGGTTTAATCAAGCATCATATCGCTTCATCCTCAAATAAGGCTTGCCCAATTTCCACCAAACAACATAAAATTTAACATTTTTTAAGTGCAAATAGTGTGAAAATGCAAACCAGGAGTCAAAATGCCATAGATAATCATGATCGAAGTCGCCCATCGAAGGTGAGAGCGGTGATAAATTTCTCAAGTCCAATTAATTATAACAAATGAAGGAACAACTAGCACTCAAGATATGAGAAACTGTTGGGCAAGTTCGACAACAATCTTCCATATTCTTTGTATAACTAAAGATTTGTTTGGGGCAGCTGCAGATTATTGATAATCTACAGATAAACAACTGATCCAGATAAATTACTGATCAGCAATTGATCCAGATAAGTTGGCTGTTTGTTTGGTTTGTGTGTTTGGAAAACAACTGATTTGCAGCTGTTTCTATATAAATGACCATTCTGCCCCTGTACAATAATGTTGTTTACGACAGAACTGTCATAACTATAATAAATCTGTTAAAATTTGTTATTAATTTTTTAGTGCAATCATAATTTATTAATTTTGACATGATATTATTCCAAATGCTTTATAAATCTGTTATTTTTATGAAAAATCTTTACTCACCAAAAATATTATCCTGGACAAATACTATATAGTAAATTAAACTAACTTATTATCTTGGATAAATAATATGTAGTAAATTAAATTATTTGTTTGATTACTAAATTTTAAAACCTAAATACTATCGGAAAACAACTTGAATAACACTGGCTCGAGCAGAAGGCTTGAATAACACCGCATAACTCACCAATAACACTAAAAACCTTGCTAATAACACCACAATAACACATGAATACTACTGTAAATAACACCGCAAAACACCGCGAATCAACGGCTTTGGCAAAAGACACGAATAACACCGCGTAACTCACCAATAACACCAAAAACCTAGCTAATAAAACCGCAATGACACATGAATACTACCGGAAAACAACTCGAATAACACTGGCATGTAATTCAAAAGCAAAACTAACTTATCCAGTAATGCAGTGAAGTAAGAGAAAACAAATACCCATGACGGCGTTTTGAAAACGCCTAGCAGCTGTTCTGCTGCGCCAAACAGGCCTTAAAACACTTCATAGAGGTGAAACTAGCATCACATCAATAATCATCTGGACTTCCTGGAGTCCATATACTCATCCATCACGCATAATGACATCAATGAGATTCTTTGAAGTAGGGAGATTAACATATCACCTAGCCAATTAAATTCTTCTTTTTAGGGATAACTAATGATGTTTAACCACTAAGATTGAAGATACTTAGCTAAGCAGATGACTTACCAAGAAAAGTCGGGCCTATTTGACCACATCTCTTCTTTTGAGTTAATGAAAACTTAAAGCAACTGTTGTGCATACACCAATTTCAATGGGGGTCATGGCATCAAGCAGAGCTTTTCAATAGTCTCCAATTAAATCTTGATATTCTTATATGGTCAATTATCAATATGTAAGCGGTCTATATTATTGTAGCCTTCCACCATCTCAACATTAACCAAGTGGCCCAACGGACCAGGTAATATAAATTACATGTCGCCTCTACCAAGTAAGACAAACGTGAGAAGAAGTCCAAATGATATGCTGCTTTCTGCTTCTTTCATTCGTATTTATAATTCGGGGCATTTACATACATACCACCCAATTCCTTTGCCATTACATAACTAACACCTAAACTTTACTTTTTTTTTACATTTATACCAACCAAATCTTTCATATAACGTAAAAAAAATCACTATTTTAACTTTTAAGAGATGAAGTATATATTTTCATCGATGAATTAGACGGCATATATGTAAAAATTGAAGTTCAGTTGTTAGATATGTAAATACATAGGATGTAAGTGGAATGTATGTAAATCCTCCTTATACGTTTGATCTCAATGCTGTAATTAAGCTGAAGATGTTGATGAACTCTTAAAAAAATTGTATTTTGTTTTCCTCAACCTATTACAGTTGTTTTGTATTATTAATACTATCTCTAGTTCCAAATCAAGATACAAAATTTTAAAATATTCTGCTATATTTTATATTAAAATATAAAATAAATCAATAGCAAACAAAGCAAATTCTTTAAATTACATATGATATAAATTTTTAGAAATGATATGAGTGGAGTTCACTAGGTGATTATGGCCCTAGTGAACTCCACTCATTCCTTTCCTTCTTCTGGCGCTCCCCTTGTTCACCCCGCTCCTTCCTATCGCCACGACTGGCCCGCCTGTGGGACCGATTCTGCAGTTTTCAGCCGGTTTAGGGAGGACCGGCTCACATATAGGCGTAACACCTTCTGCGGCTTCCCTTGTTTGCCTCCGCTCCTTTCTGTCGCCAAGAACAACCTGTTTGTGTGCCAATTCCTCTGTTTTTAGCCGGTTCAAAGAGGATCGACTCACATTTAGGCATAAAATTACTCCTCCCAAAAAAAGCACATTGTCCTCATGGTGGAAGGATGAAAACTGCTTGTGGATCACCTTGTACGACTCCCATGTTGCTTCATAATCTGATAGCCCATTCTGTTTGACCAATACCTTCTTTTGCCCCCTTATTCCTCGGTGCACTCCTTCGATTTCTAATGGCTCTAAAATCACCTCCAAGTCTTCTGTCAGCTTCGTCGGTAGTGTGGGTGAGGGTGTATGATCTCCAATCACACGTCTCAGCTCTGGCACATGGAAAACCGGCATTGTATGGACGATTGTGGTAACCTCAAATGATAAGTCATTTTTCTGATTCGTGCCATCACCTCATATGGTCCATAGTACGTGGTGAAAGTTTCTCGCTTCTCTTTCTGGCCAATTTCTTCTACAACTTCAAGTAGACAATTTCCCCTGGTTCAAATATACACATACACAAAAATGAAACAAATTAAAAGCATATTACCAAATAAAATACAAACAATTTACATAGATGCCACATAATTTTACGCATTTACATATCAAACAATGAAAGTTCGACAATTACACTTATATTATCTTGGTGTCATAAACCTATGCATTAAAATGTGTATATCACTTCTAAAAAGACAGTAATGATGATATTTTTTACTTAATGTTAAAGATTTGAGTGTTACATTTGTAAATATGAATGTTTAGATGTTAGATTTGTAAACATGTAAGTATATATATAATTTTGAATTATTTAAACATTTTTATTTGATTTTTCGAGGTTGGGGAGGTTGGGGAGCTATCAGAAATTTTCATGTGGAGGGGAGAAGTGGCAAAAGGACTACCAAACTGGAAGGAATCAGACAAGCAGCACTTAGGAGAGGAACTCTCAGATGTTTTGCTCTATCTCATAAGGCTTGCAGATATATGTGGAATTGATCTTGGAGATGCAGCAACTAAAAAGATAGTAAAAAATGCCATCAAATATCCTTCCAAATCTATATAAATTTAGCTCATGAGACGCTCAATGCTCCTCTCAGCTTTCACTATATTTTCATGCCTTTTGTTTTTTTTTTTTTTTTGGCTATTTTCACTATAATTGTCTATTGTATTATGTATGGTGACCGAGGGAGTTGCATAAACAAGTTGTTTAAGATATAATGAAGTAATATTTATTATGTTTGTCATCGGAAGATTTACATATATACCACTCAATTCTTATGTATTTATATATATAACACCTAAACTTCAATTCTTATAGACATGCCACATCATCAAAGCATGAAAAGATGTATTTCACTTTTTAGAAGCTAAAATGGTGTTATTTTGGATGTGATATGAAGCCATTGGGTGGCGGAAATGTAAAATGTAAAGTTTAGGTGTTAGATATAAAAATACATAAGAATTGGTGGTATGTATGCGAATGCCCCTTTATCATATTAACAATGTGATGAAGCTTAAGAGCAAGATATATTACGATGAAGTACTTCTTCGGCCTTAGGAAATATGTTTTCAAAATGATGATTTCACTTTCTCATTCCAACTATGCTCAATATTTCAAAGGGATTTAATTTGAAGGTTGATGTGTTGAGAAATCTGTAATTCCATATTGATTGCAATAATGTGAGTGAGAATGTTTAGGATTTGTGTTCACAAAATCTCAATGTAACAATGATTGAACTAAAATGATGGTGTAGCAAAGTCTTACACAATTAGATGGACTAAGGGCCCGTTTGGGGCAGCTTATTTGGTGTGGTGGCGTTTTGAAAACGCACCTGACCTGTTTTGGTAAACTGCTTTTTGGAACTTATGCGTTTTTAAAACACTGAAAACAGTGCCGAAAACAGCGTATTCACACCGCACTTATCTAGGTGCGGTGGCAGCTTTCTGACAGCTGTCTGACTTTTCCAAAAAAGTAAAAATTTGTAATAGTCACCGCACCTAGCTTATCAACAGATTATTTTTAATCAGCTTATCAGCAGATTATTCAATAAGTTGAAGTTGCCCCAAACAGACCCTAAATCTCTAAAATACTTTCTATCAGGAAATAGAAAGATGATACATTTTTATCCTACACTTCATCAATGAAGGATATTTAATTGTATTTTTCAGGCTTTTCCTCTATCCATCATAAACTCAGGCAACAAAGTAGACATGCTTAATTCTGAAATTATAAATATCCCCTTAGTAGATACAGTAAAAAATCATCTTTTTTAGTCCCCCAATTCATTCCCTGAAGGTTGTTTTATTGTGTTTCTTTCATGCCACTGTAGTTTTTTAAGCTCATTTGTTGAATTAATAAGAAAAAAAATGTCTTTTTAAGGCAACATTCTTCATGACATGCTAATTACTTCTGATTATGCGTGTCCCCAAGATCAATCTGTGCACTTTAAAAAAGGAAAAAAACAGGGCATTTTCATACATGCCACACAGTTCTGTTGTATTTACACATTAAACGCCTAAACATTCATATTTAAATGCATATCACTCAATTCTTTCACATCACATAAAAAATGCAACCATCACTATCTGTTTAAGACTGAAATACACATTTTCATGCATAAATATACGACACTAAGGTGTTATAAATGAAAATATCGAACTTTGGGTGTTAGATATGTACATACATAAGAATTGTGTGGTATTAATCTAAACTTCCCTAAAACAAGATAGAAATGATGTACCTAATATTATACTTAAGGAGCAGGAATCATATAATAAATATGCAATGTGCAAGAAATAAATCACACCAAACATAGCCCACTTAGCAAAACCAGTAATCGAACAAACAATATGAGTAACAAGAATCTTAGACTCAGGCTATTAAGCCCACAGTTAAAATATGTCAACTTAAAGAGTACAAGATGTTATCTCAAGTAGGGCTGTCAAAAAGGTTCGTTGTTCGTGAACAACTCGTGTTAGGCTCGTTAAGAAGCTCGTGTTCGGCTCCTAAGTTAAGGAGCCCAACACGAATAACACGAACAAATATTTGTTCGTTCGTGTTCAGCTCGTTTTGGCTCGAAATACTACTAATCAATTATATATATATCTATGATGAGAAGTAATTTTAAAAAACTTAATTGACTACAAAGCTACAAAGATTTATAATCAACTAAAAGTATTTACTAAAAGTATTTACTAAAAGTATTTATGAAGAAAATAGAATAAAAATTATTAAATTAGATTCAAATGATGTTTTAAATCTTGCCTCAATCCTCAACATCTTATGACTATGAGATTAGGGTTGTCAAAACGATTATTTGTTCGTGAACGTTTCGTGTTCGGCTTGCTAAGCAAATGGGCTGAACACGAACACACTTTTTGAGCTTGAAATATAAAAGAGTCAAACACAAGCTGAGCCTAGGCTCGCTCGTTTACACCCCTAATCTCAAGAGTCTAAATCAATAACGTAGGATGAAAATTGAAAAAAGCTTTTTATATCTAAAGAACAAAGCAGGAGACGCCATAACACTAGGGCAAATGTAGTGGCCTCTAAAACAAGGCAAAACCAGGCAAAGGCACATGTAAAGCAACCTTTTGTAAAGCTAGTCTTCACCATGAACACAAATATAAGCTGACAACCACGTTAATGGCTGCTTAAATAAGACATTAAGAGCTAAGAGACAGTAAAATTCAATATAAATCGCTCACTCCAAGTTTCGTAACCTTGACGAGGAGAAAAAAATACGCAAGCAATAATGGAAGTAAATAGCCCCGATAATCAACAATGCTAGGGCCGAGCGAAGTTGCCTTTGAAGAAGGGAATGACGAAGAGAAGAGGATTTTAGGTTTAGGGTTCGTAGAGAGTACACTGAAGTAAAATCACCAAAAATGGAATGAGATTCTTGCAGTCCTAGGGTCACTTTGTTGCTTTGATAGAGATAGATTTCTCTATTAATGAAGAAATAGCGAGCATTGATTACGAAAACAATGTCAACGCGTTTGGAACAGAGGTGATATTTCTTGCTTACTTGAATCCGTTTTCCAGTTTTTTTCTTGGATTGTCGTGAGATTAATTTTGGATTATTTTGTAGTTAGGCTTTGTTATCTGCGGGTTATTTTGAAAAAATACTCAATAACCCGAGAATAACCCGAGAATAACTGAAGAATAACCCGAGAAAAAGTAACCCGCTAGTTCTCTAAAAAAATGATGAAATATTCTTTGAAATTATTTTGTATGTTTAATGGATGTATTATGGGTTATTTTTCGGGTGATTTAGGGGTTATTTTGAGTTTAGTTTTGGCTTATTTGCAAGTTATTGTTGAAGAAATATATAATTACCCGAGAATAACCCAACAATAACCCCAAAATAACTTAAAAAATCCTTTTTATCTGCATATTTTACTATTTTTGTGGTATAATTCAAATTTATAGTTACCTGGGCCAGGAAATGAATGCAATGATCCAATTGTTCATAGTTTTCTTAATACTATTGTCCATAATGAGGTAGAGGCTTACGAACATTGTTGCTCTTATGCTCATCATGTTGGTTTCACGGTCCGCAAGGACTCAACAGTTACTGGGCTAAATCCAAGCAAATTAAGTCGAAGGATTATATTTGTGGAAAAGTAGGTCATAACAGAGAATCACAGGTTGCCAATACGGCGGAGTACAGAAAAACGAATACAATGACTGGCTATCAAGCAATGGTTCGCTATGTGTTGATGTTGATGGCAATTGGACAATAAAGAAATTTGTAGAAAGTCATAACCACCCATTGGCAGAATCCGGTGACAATCACCTTCTACGTTCCAGTTGGAAGATTAGCGAGTTAAATGCAAATTTGCTGAGATCAATGACAGGTTCGGCGAATACATTTAATTTCCTTGCTACAGAGGTTGGGGGAGTTGAAAACTTGAAGTGTACGAGCCAAGATGCCTACAACTTTATTCAAAGGGAAAAAAGAAGTAGAATTGAACAAGGTGATGACAACTCTCTCTTACAATTATTCATGGAGCGACAAACCGAGGATATCATGTTTGCATGAGACTTCCAAAGTGATGAGCAGGGTAAACTTACAAGCTTTTTCTGGAGTGATGGGTATTGTAGACTTGATTATGATTGTTTTGGAGATGTCGTCATTTTCGACACTAGCTACCGTTTGAATAAGTATAATTTATGTTGTGCTCCTTTTATAGGGAATAACCACCATCGGCAAAATGTTCTCTTCAGATTTGGTTTTTTATCTGAAGAGATGATAGAGTCCTTCAAGTGGTTATTCAAAACATTCATTCGCATAATGGATGATAAGCATCCAATTACAATTTTTACAGATCAGGATCAAACGATGACAAGAGCCATTGAAGATTGTCTTCCACTCACAAGATATAGATTATGTCAGTGATATATCTATAAGAAATTTTCGTCGAAAGTTCATTGTGGTTTGACGTATAAGTGCGTTAACAATCTATTTTACAAATGCATGAGCAAGTGTGATTTCGAAGAAGAGTTTAAGATACTTGGGCTATAATGATTAAGCGAGGAAACCTACACAACAACGTGTGGCTAAATGCACTGTACCATAGAAGACATAAATGGTCAACAATATTCAATAACAAAATATTCGAAATGAGAATATTATCTACGCAAAGAAGTGAGTGCACAAATAATGTATGTCATGGTGCATCTAAGCCCACTAGTTCTCTCACTGATTGCTTTCTAGGTCTTGAAAATATTATGAAATCTTAAAGAAGGAACGTAAGGATGAAGACTTCAAAAGCTCTCAGAAAGTTATTACACCAGCAGTTAAAATAAGCCCAGTGTTGAGACAAGTTGCTACACATTACACCCGGAAGCTCTACTCCATGTTTGAGGAAGAGTTACTACATGGGCTATGTGGATTAACTGTCAAGTTCTCAGTTGAGAGTCCATTCAAATTCTATGTTAGGAATTTGGATAATCGGGACACGAGTAGAGCTTGGATTATTACATTTGACAGGGTTAATTGTGACATCACCTGTAGTTGCAAGAAATTTGAAATGATGGGGTTGCTTTGCGCTCACTCTCTACGCGTTCTTAATGCGGTAAATTTAACAAAGATTCTAGGGAAATATTTGTTATTGAGATAGTATGCTAAGGAAAAAAAAGTCATCTATAATAGTTTTGGATACACACATATGAAGGATTCTCAAATGTCCGACAAAACTTCCCGTGAA